AGGGGGGCCGCGACGTCTTGGGAGGGGGGCCACGCTCGTTCGGTCCCTTCCGAGGCGGTCTTGAGGTATTGGCGGGTCCCTCCTCTCGAGATCGAGTTCCGTGTCAGACGTCTGCGGTGGTACCAGCAATGGGCTCGAGAGCCCGCGCGACACCTAGGCGAGTGGGCCCCCCTCTTTGGGGACATGTACATCGAGAAAATGCGAGGCCTCCGAACCCTTTCGCCCGAGGGTCATCTCACGGAGACGGCGAACCCCTGGGCCATCCAGTACGTCAGGGACTTCGAGGCGCTTCGGAGGACGTCTGTGGACACTGAGGAGGATATGCGGTCCTGGTCAGGAGCCCCTTTGGAGTTTCTCGAGGAGGGGGACTTGCGGGACTGGTTCACGGAGCTGGACCTCTCGGTCGTCAGGGCCGCGTGGCTCTCGGTCAGCATTCCTCCTGCAGGCTCTTCTGGTCCCCATCAAGAGGCACCACCTGAGGTCCCCGCTGGACAAGGTGAGGGCTTTCGCTGCTCCGTCGGGAACTGCGCCAAATGGTTCCTAACGAAGCGTCAGTGGCTTGTTCACGTTCGGGCCGCTCATGGTTACAAAACCCTGTTGGCTGAGGCTGTCCAGGGCGCTTCGTGCTTCGTGTGTTGCAGCAGGTTCCAGTCTCGCAACTCGGCTTACAACCACGTGCTGGACTCGTTCGCTTCGGGCTTCTGCAAGGTTCAGCTCAGTACCACTCTCGAGCTTGCCCCGCCGACAGGCCCATTCTGTTGCCGACTATGTGAGGCTCAAGTTCTTTCCGAGCCTGCTCTCCACCTCCATACGCGCATCCATTTCGAGGACTTCCCGCTCGTGCTTGGAGGCGATGGATCTCGACGAGCCCAGCTGGGCGGTCGGGAAACGCAAGGGCCTGGAGGCCAGCGACTCCAAGGGTGCCAAGCAGGCCCGATTGCTCGCGGAGCTCGGGCAAGAGGCGCAGGCCAACCAGAAGAACGGCAAGGGAGGAGCGCTGGCGGCGCTCCTGGTCGTCCTCACGAGGCTCGCCCTCACCAACGCGCGCGAGCTGGCCGAGGTGACTGGCGCCTGCTACACCTCGTACATGGTCGGGGCAGAGGTCCCGTTCGTCAAGGTGCTGCAGGAGACGGGCAAGACGTACGCCGAGAACTGCAAGGCCGACGGCAAGGACCACCAGCACGGCCCCCCCTGGCCGCACGTGTTCAAGGCGTTCATCAAGTGGGCCTGCAGCACGGAGGGGGCCAGCACGACTCCAGCGGCAGCGCAGACGGTGTTCCAGGACTACTGGCGGAAGGTCATCCTAGCCCCGTCGGCGCTCGAGACGCTGGCGATCCACTGCCGCCACTTCCGACTCAAGGCCTGCTGGTACGACAAGAAGAAGCTCACCAAGCCCGACAGGTTCAAGCTCCAGATCATGCTCGGCATCCCGCAGCAGGCGAACCCTTGGGGAGACGGCACAGCTTCGCTGATGGAGGCGGTTCAGCAGACGGTCATGGCGGCAGGCACGGACAAGAAGGACCAGACCGTGCGCTTTCTCCCAGGGGCGCCGCCGAGAGGCGGGCTGGAGCGCGAAGCCTCCAAGCTGCTGGCGCAGCTCGGGATGAAGGACAAACCAGCGGCGGCGCCCGACGGCAGGGACAAGGACAAGGACGACGACGAGCTATGAGTCGACCTGCCCGTTTCAGGTTGCAATCCATCAACGGCTCGCGCCGTACCGCGGAGTTGTACCTCCAGGGCCGCCTCCCAGACGGAACCCTCCTCGCCCTCCAGGCTCGGACCCTCTCCCCGATCCTCGAGTACTCGGATGGGGCCCTGGAGGTTAGACTTTTCTTTAGGACCCTCCCCATTCAGGCCTCCTTCGGCGTTGAGACGCTCCAGAGGCTTTCGGAGGCCTCTCGCCAGCTTCGGCTGGCCGCGAGTTCCCTGGGCGAGGGTCGTCTCTCGGGTTCCCTGCGGACCTCCGACGTTTGGGCTGTGCCGCGCCGTGCCGAGGAGGACTGAAAGGGGTTGTGCTGGGGTCGGTTTAATGCGTCGCCGTCCCTCGGCCCTGTTCAGTGGAGGGAGTGCATAGGCGAGCCCCCTAGGTGTCCCCTTTTTGGGGGTCTCGCTGATATGCCAGTGGAATCCCCCTGCAGGGCCCCACAGAATCTCGGGCCCCTCAAGTGGTTCTCGAACGCCTGATCCGTTTTTTGTTTTCCCTTGTGGCCCTGCAGGGTGCGGTTGTCTCAAGGTGGTTGACCTCATCGGATCATCGGCGCTGCTCTGCTCTCCCTCGGCGCTCTCCTGGCTCCCCGCGGCGCTCTCGTCGCACCCGGTGCACACTCAGGCGGGGCGAGAGGGCAGGGCAGGGAGTGGGGAGGGGGGGCTGCGAGATCAGCTGCGGCGGGAGGGAGTGCAGGGAGGGAGGGGGGGGCAGGGAGGGAGGGGAGGGAGGGAGTGGGGAGGCAGGGCATCGGAATCGGAATCGGAACAGTTGCGAAGCAACATCCTTATATAAATTCCACCGCTCAAGCCATTGCTCGAGACAGGCTACAAGCACTACCCAACAGGCAAGATGCAAACAGCACGTGGGAGTGAAGAGCCCTCCGCTGCACGAACATTCCATTCGACACTGCTCTACTCTGCGCGCCGACCCCGCGGCGCGACGAGGAAGCCCGAGAACAGACCCAGACAGGAGCAATCCCCGCCTGCGGAGGGTTCCCGCCGCGCCGTCGGGCCCAGTCCTCGATGCACGGGCGCCTCCAGGCGCCAGGAGGCGCCAGGACAGCCGGCGGCGTGAGCTGATTCTCCAGCCTCCAGCTGCCCTACCCTTTGCTCTCCTGCCCTCTCGTCCCCCCCGGTTCACCTCCTCGTTCCTGCTCCTCCCTCGGTCCGAAGTCAGGCGTCCAATCGCTCCCCAGAACCTTCTGGGTTCCTCTCTGTCTGCCAGAGGGGCCCGACGAGATCACGGTGGCCCGATTTGGCCGCCAACTCGCAGGCGCACATGACCTACCAGTCTCGTCCCTCAGTCCTCTGCGTCGCCTGCAGCCATCAGTGACCTGCTCGGCGCTGGCGCAGGAGGTCATTTGACCTAAATGATGCCATCTGGTGCCCAGCTGCCTCACCACTGCTTGCTGTCACTGCCAGATTTTCTCGCATACGTCGGTCCTCGCCTGTACTTGATGACGCCTTGTGTATCCCGCTCCACTGCCGTTGCTTGCTGCCACTGCCCGGCCTTCGGGTCCAGGGTCGCAAGGGGTGACGACGACAACAAGCAACAAACAATATGCAACAGGCAAACAACGGACAACAAACAACAAACAGCACCACCAACAAGAACACCAACGACAACAACACAACACCAACAACACCACCAACAACAACAATCCGCACCGCAGAACCTCACTTCAGCCACGCGCGACCCAACTCTCACCATCCGATGCGAAACACAGCTTTCGGTGCGCTCCGCTGATCTTTCAACGCCGACCCACCCCCAGGCCGCGAAGAGCCCCTGGGTACACAAGGCAGAACACAAACAAGAAGCCGATGGAATCTACAGAATCAGCTGATACGTTTCGGGCACCCCTCGCCGAATCCGATTGCGAAGGCCTTCTGGCCGGCGCCGCCGACCCTGAAGGAGGGAGACGACGACGACGACGACAACGGCGGCAGCGGCAACGACTCGGCCACGCGCGGAAGGGGGGGTGGGGGGAGGGGTGAGGGCTTCTTAGAAACTCCCCTGCTTCTTGGATGGCGCGGGCCTTATCTATAGATGTAAGGCCGGCGCCTGCTAAGAAGCAGTTTTCTTCTAAGGAGCCCTCCCTTCTCCCTCCACTCCCTTTTTGCGCACCGCCAAACGACGACGACGCTGACGTGGGCCAGAGTCATCAGGGGTCGTTCTCGGGGTCTCTACGAATCTCTCTGGCGCCTCTGGGGAGGAATCTTGGGCCTCTTGGGAGCCTCATAGGGGGCCTCTTGGGAGCCTCTTGGGGGTCTCTTCGAGCTTCCTGGGGACCTCGTTTTGCCCTCTTGGGAACCTCTTGGGGCCTCCTGGGAGCCTCTTGAGGCCGAGGGCTCGACATGTCCGTTCGGGTCCCCCTTCTGGGCACGCTCTTGTATCCGTCTTCGGGGCCTCTTGGGACGTCTTGGAGGCATTCTGGGTTGTCTTGGAGTCCTCTTGGGCTGTTTGGGGGCTCTCTTGGAGGCCTCTTGGACCGTCTTGGGGCGATCTTGGGGGCCTGTTGTGCCGTTTCGGAGCGGCGGGAAGTGGAAACGGCGAGAACGCCCCCAAATCTTACAAACACGTTCGGAAAATCAATGAATTTGGCCTTTTGGGGTCGTGTCGGGAGTGCTCTTGGAGGCGCTTTGGGGCGTCCTGGAGGCCTCCTGGGCCGTCTGGAGGGCGTGAAGGCTTTTTGGACCGATCGTTTGGCGATTTGGGACCCTCTTGGACCGTCTCCGCGGCCTCTCGGGCGCTCTTGGCCTGCTTCGTACTTTCTGAGGCCCCTGGGGCCCCCAGGAGGGGATGCACATCTGAACCCTCCCCCCCCGACCCTGCCCTGGGACCCTCCCGTCCGACGGGGGAGGTATCAAAGGGAGGGGGCTGCCCTTCGTCCCCAGATTGCCCAAGGTGCCCCCAAGACGCCCCCAGGCGCTCCCAGAAGCCACAATCCGTCCCCAAGCGTTCTTAGGCTCGCCGTTGGCCCTGGCAGAAACAGCATCCACATCCTCGTCTACATCGTCGCCGCAGGAGGACCCAAAGAGCAGATGAATGCAGATCGCATTGGCGCGTGGACCACACGCGATTTCCGCAGGATAAGAAACCCCACAGAGTCTGCAGCCTCCTGGGCACATTCCGTAAGTAACGCCCCCACCGCATTGGGGTCTCCCCTTGGCCCCACGCGCATTCGGATACAAAGCCCAACATCTACACTCAGTTGACCCTTCGTCGACCTTGCAGATCCCGCGTTCCATCTTCAGCAACAGCTAACACGGATGGATGGCAACTCCTTTGTCGAAGCGGGGATCTCGAATGAGACGTCTGCGAGGCGTACGTCCACGTCAGCGGCATCCTGCAACGTTAAGACGGATGGACGGCATGCATTTGTCAAAACGACGCTGTCCTGGGGGCTCCTTGAAAGATTCTCGCGTAGGACTTCCGCTGGACATGCGTCCATGTTTTTGACGTTCTGCAACGCATACACGGATGGAGGGCATTTGCCCATCAACACGGGGTTTCTTTTGGCGTCTTTCGATTGGAGGGAAGATCCTTTACAACAGGCGTTCTCGTCCGACTGCGGGCCGACCGGCCGCTCGTCATTCAAAAGGGGGCGCACGCAGTGGAAGCGAAGACTTGCATGGACTTCTGATGGAGGGGGGACGGGATGGTGAATTGCAGCATCGCCTGATGCATCTTGGGTTTACTATGGACCTTCCTCCTCTTCCTCCTCCTCTTCAACCTCCTCCTCCTCCTCCTCCTCCTCCCCCTCCTCCTCCTCCTCCTCCTCCTCCTCCTCCTCCTCCTCCTCATCCTCCTACCCTTCCTCCTCCTCCCCTTCCTCCTCCTCCCCTTCCTCCTCCTCCTCCTTCCCTCCCGCAGGGTTGGCCGAGCGACCCCGCTTCCGAGGAGGCGTATGCGGACGAGAGGCGCCGCATCTGGGCCCGCCTCTCCTCGGATCTGCCCAAAGACAAGCTCCGGACCGGGCGGGGCTACGGCCGCGAAACTCGGCACCTTTTCTCGGGGGCTCCCAAACGTGGTGGTGACCACACCGTGTGGTGAGTCGGTGGGGATTCGGGGTCACCGCACGGTTTTGGGACTTGGGTCGTTCTCCGAGGATGTCTCGGGCGACTGGAGCCTCCAGGGTCCCAAAACCGTGTGGTGACGGACCGTGCGGTGAGGTCTTTGCGGATTTCGAGGTCACCGCCGGGTCTGTCACCACACGGTTTTGGGACACCCGATTTTCTTGTCGGCTCCTCGCCAGGCCGCCCACTCAGGGTTCTTTTCGGTGCTTCCGATTCGATTCGCTTCGAAGCGACTTCGAGGGCTCCCGATTCCGATTCGATTCGATTCGGGATTCCGATTCGGGTTCCGATATTTCTGACTGGAGAACCACAAGCCTGCCGACGTCTGCCGATTCTCGACCCGTCTCGGCTCGGCTGCCGATGTCCTCCGATCCGAGTCGCGCCGATCACCGATCCGACGTGTCGATTCGATTCTGGTTTCAGTTCGGGCGTGTCCCTCTGCAGGGGGAATAGTTTAAAATAGTCAAAACATAGTCTGGGGATTATTTTTTGAGTATCTATTTGGCCATTTGGGAGTATGTTTGTAGTAGTTTTCATGTGTCGTCAAAAATTCCCATGCAGGGGGACACGCCCGACTTGATTCTGGTCTCTCCTGTCCATTCTTCGGGAGCGCCGCGGGGCGCGAGGACTGCAGTCGACCCGCATGGTGAGGGTGGGCACCCTTCCCAAGGGTACCCTTGAATCCTTGCCCCTTCGGCCCGTCCTTGGCCACTCTTGTTGGCCGCGCCCCGCTCGAGAGGTTTCGGAATGGGCTTGCAAGGCCCTTGCATGCTTATCCCGCATCCTTACGATGCGGGCCACGTGCAGTCTATTTGCATGGGGGGGGGCGGGGGGCGGGGAGAGGCCTGATAGGAAATTTGGACCCCACGCAAGTCGGGGCACTATTACATGCCTTTCCGGCCCAAATGTGTTGGAAAAGCTGGCGGAGGGGGGCGGGAATGCTATGCAAGTGAGCTTGCCTGAGTCGAAAGAAAAACAGCTACGAAATGGAGGAGGAAGAGAAAGAAGAGAAGGAAGATGATGTTTAAGGAGAGGAGAAGGAGCGGGGAGAGGACAAGCTAGGTGCGGTCGCATCATATCTGACGTTATCCCCCTCGCTCCCATCCCGTATCATGGCGTAGATCTCTTCTCCATTCGCACAATCTGGAGTCGCAGCGTGGCATAGCATTACATGGCATAGCATGGTGTTGAAGATCAACGCGTAGCATGACAAAGCATGGCGTGGTGACGTCCAAAAGTGTTTGGTGGGGGGCTCTTGCGGCCCAAACAAATATCCCAGTGCGACCCTACATAGGAGTTGGAGCCCCTAGGAAAGCAGCATTAGTACGAACAGTAAAGCTAAAGCTAAGCTAAAGCTAAGTTAAAATTAAACTAAAACTAAGCTAAAGCTAAGCTAAAGCTAAGCTAAAGCTAAGCTAAGCTAAGCTCAAGGTAAGCTAAAGCTAAGATGAAGCTAAGCTAAAGCTAAGCTAAAGCTAAGCTAAAGCTAAGCTAAAGCTAAGCTAAAGCTAAGCTAAGGCTAAGCTACCGCTAAGCTAAACCTGAGCTAAAGCTAAGGTGCAGATAAGCTAAAGCTACGGTAACGCTAAGCTAAAGCTACGGTAAAGGCTAAGCTAAAGCTAAGCTGAAGCTAAGCTAAAGCTACGGTAAAGGCTAAGCTACAGCTAAGATAACACTAAGCTAAAGCTAAGCTAAAGCTAAGCTAAAGCCAAGGTGCAGCTCAGCTAAAGCCAAGCTAAAGCTAAGCTAAAGCTAAGCTAAATCTAAGGTACAGCTAAGGTACAGCTAAGCTAAAGCTAAGCTAAAGCTAAGCTGGAGCTAAGCTAAAGCTAAGGTACAGCTAAGCTGAAGCTAAGCTAAAGCTGAGCTAAATCTAAAGCTCAAGCTAAGCTAAAGCGAAGCTAACGCTAAGGTGCCGCAAAGCTAAAGCCAAGCTAAAGCCAAGCTAAAGCTAAACTAAAGCTAAGCTAAAGCTAAGCTGAAGCTAAGCTGAAGCTAAGCTAAAGCTAAGCTAAAGCTAAGCTGAAGCTAAGCTACAGCTAAGCTAAAGCTAAGCTAAAGCTAAAGCTAAAGCTCTCAGGGGACTGGGGGAACCGCGGGGCGGGGACTGGGGGAACCGCCCAGGGCGGTTAGCACTGCCCGGCCCTTTAAGCTAAGAGAGTAAGAACCCTTCTAGGCAGAGCCTATGTAGGGAATTACGGAATCGACACCGAATGCGTAATCTCTGCCGACGGTTTCTTCGGGGGGCCATTTTCTAGATTTTGGGGCCTATTTGGAAGTACCGAAACCATGCCGTGTCATGGCACTGGAAATAATGACGCCAGCGTTGGAGCGGGAGCACGATTCGGAAAGAGCGGAAGCGCGGAAATGAGGCCAGCGTTGCAGCGGGAGCACGATTCGGAGGACACGGAGCTTGACATAGCATAGCGCGGCGACGCCCCAAAGTGGGGGGGGGCTTCTGCGACCCCCAAGAATAACGAATCGACACCGAATGTGGAACCACTTCCGATGGTTTTTTCGTGGGGCCATTTTCCGGATTTGGGAGCCTGTCTGGAAGGACCGGAAACCATGCCGTGGCATGGCGCTGGAAATGATGACGCCAGCGCTGCAGCGGGAGCACGATTCGGAACGAGCAGAAGCGCGAAAATGAGGCCAGCGGTGCAGCGGGAGCACGATTCGGAACGAGCGGTGGCCCGAAAATGAAGCCAGCGCCTCAGCGAGAGCAGCACTTCGAAAAACAACCCAAGCGACAACTCGTCTCCTGGGAATCCTATGTGTAAAGAAGCCGTACGCGGAGGTGGGCCGGCCATTTCCCGGACGTCGCCAGGGGAGAGAGGAGAGTAGTATTCATTTTGTGTAATTGTCGAGAAGGAGGAGGAGGAGGAGGAGAAGGAAGAGGAGGAGGAGGATGGGGAAGGTGGAGGAGGAGGAGGAGGAGGAAGAGGAGGATTCCCGTAGCCATTTTGGCTCAAGGCCAAACGTGGTGAAGGGCTATAGACGCCCGAGAATCAGCGATTAGCTTTGCGGCCCGTCCGTTGCCTGTCTGGCTCTGACGGCTTGGGGCGCTGTCCACGGTCCCTTCTGTTCACTCTCGTTTCGCGACGGGCTGTCCGCTCGCAGACCACTGGTCTGTAAGGACGACGCGATGCCAGAGCATGCGCAGCAGAGTGCCGTTCCTGATCGTGGTGGTGCTTCTCATCATCCTGAGGCTCCTGCCCACAAGTGGCCGAAAGGGGGCAAGGAGGGCAAAGGAAGCGGTGCCACCGACTCGTACGACGAAGCTGAGGGCGAATTCTGGGAGCCGCCCACGTTTCCGCCTGGAGAACAAGAAGCACACGAGCTCAAGAACTATATTGATGAGGTTCAGAAGTCTCTTATGGATTCCATCGGCGCCATCCGCACACAGGTCTCCTCGCTCGCATCAACGGTGCAGACGGCCTGTACAAGTTTGGGTTCTCAGGTTGAGAGCAGGATGGGAACGGTCGAAGTTAGACAGAATAAGACTGAACAGTATACGAAATCCTTGGAGGCAAGGATCAAGCAGCTTGAGGACACCCTCGGCATTATGCGAGCTGAGAAGCCGAAGATTGAGACCGACACGAGCTTCGACAGAGACCCCAACCCTACCATCGTGGTGTCCAGATGCCGCACTCTGGTTACCAAAGAGCAGGTCAATGTCGCAATTCAGGAGTGGATGGAGGCCGCCAACTGTCCGTCTTCTGAGTATGCGATTGTCGGGGAGCCCGCGGCGAAGCGCTTCGACATCCAGTTCAAAGGACAAGCAGGTCTTGCGGCTCGCCGTACCTCTAAGGCACTCATGTTCCTCAAGCGTGGGCCCAACGACTGGCGCAGGTTCGTGGTGGCCGACATGACTGGAGTCCAGCAAGAGTTGCACATCGGCCCTGACAAGTCACAGGCACAGATTCTCATGGAGATCACACTGAAGGCCATCAAGCGCGCATTCATCCAGGCCTTCCCGTAGCGAGAAGTCTTCATCAACAAGCATCGGGGAGAACTTAGCCATCAGTGGAAGCCAATCCTGCGCGTGGTGGTGCACAAGGAGCAGCCGACCACCGTGGAGTGGGCAGTCGAGAACATTGCGGCGCTGGGCCTCGACCGAGCCGAGATCGAGAATGCGATTCAACCCGCGATCCAGCAGCAGACAACGTCTACACAGTGGAGCCTTGAGCGCGGTGATGCGAGCATGGGCGGGAGCTTCCACATCCAGACCACCAGCGACAGCAGCGCGCAGCACTGAGTGTGACCCCTCGCCCGTTCCTTCCTGTTCCTCTTCGACTTCGGGTTCGTCGGAATCTTCCTCTTCTTCCTCCCGTTCTTCGCCCCCTTCTGCGCCGACTGGAGCGACCCCCTTTCAACCCTCGTGTGCTACCAGGGCTTCTGGACCTTCTCGCTCGTCGTCTGCTCCGTGGGCTCCATCGGGACCTCCGAGGCCCCCTTCTGGGTCTTCTGGCTCGTCGTCTGGGGCTTCCAGGCTTAGGTCTTCCTCGGGTACGCCTCCAAGGTCTTCGGGGCCATCTGGTTCTACTGAGCCGTCGCCTGGGGCAGCCAGGCCGTCGTCTTCCCTTGGGACGTCTGGGGCGATTTCGGCTATTCCGATGCCCCTTTCCTCTATATCCTGGAATGCCCGAGCGTTATTCCACCATGATATTCCTACCCGTTCTAGAAAGCTTACCTATCTTCGGGATCTCCTGGTTCCTGGTGCTATTGCGGGGGTCCAAGAGGCTCATGGGTCAATGCGCGAGGTCAACGATTTCCTGTGCAATGCTCGCAAAACTTTTAAGGCGTTCGGCTCGTTTCTCCCTGCTGTTCCAGGTCACCCCGCGGGAGGTGCAGTGACCTTTTGCCCAGATTTTGGGAACATTGGTCATCGGTTCCCTCCTGTTGAGGATCGGCAAATTTTGGCAGGAGGAAGAGCTTTGGAATTACAACTTACGTTCGGGGAGAATGTCCCGGTCATTCACTATAACATTCGCAACTTCGGTTAGTCGATTCAGACTCGGGATGAAATTATCAGGCTCATTCTTGCCGATCAGCAGGCTGCAGCTATCCGACCAGGCGAATGCCTAGTCATCGTGCATGGCGATTTCAACCTAGCCAGCGAACCACCAGCTGTGCTTCGCGCTGATGGCCCGTCTGCTGGAGGCGCTCAGATTAGGCAAGAGGTGGAGCGTGACCAACAATGGAGAAAGGAGAGGAGTACGGGGTGGGCGAGAGTATCTTCTGCCATGGTGGAGGTGGAAGGGGAGGACTACACGCATTTCTGTGCTGCGCAGTACACCCTTTCGAAGATCGACCGCGCCTTTGTCTGTTTACCTGGGTGGGCTATTGCGCCGGCGGCAGTCTCGAGTCAGGTCCGTGGCCTTCCAGAGGTCTTTCATCGAAAAGCGATTTCTGATCATGCTGCCCATATCCTGACCATATGTCCCCGGAAGCCATTGGACCCTGAGGACCGCCCGATCCACCCAGAAGTCTTTGAGCGTCCTGAATATCAGGCATTTATCTCGCAGGTCCTTCGGCAAGCCGGCTGCGCCGAGATGACGCAGCCAGAGATTCTCGCCTTTCACAAGTCTGTGATGAAAGAGGCAGCCAGAGTTGCCAGGGACATCATCGCCCCCCGTAAACCTCAAAGTCTTTTAGCCCAACTGTTTGTCTCCAGGTCTATTGGGGGGGGCGGCTTGGAAGCAGGGCCGTGGGCTTGCCGAAAAAAAAAAAACAGCGTTCTCATCCTCTGGCTGGGCGGTTTATTCGAGTGCGGCCTCTTTCTGGTGCCGTCGAGATCACATATCCCGATGCCTTCGCGATCTGCACCAATGAGCTGAACTTCAGGGTCAACCAAGCTGCTGTTCAGCGTGCCCGTCAGCAAGCAGGAGAGTCGCCCCCAGCAAAGGTGCACGCAAGACTGAGACGTAAACTTAGAGGCCTCGAGCGGCGAGGACGACCGGCTTCCTTTCGGGAGACAACTTTGTCTGCAAGGCATCCATCTTCCAGGGGGGGGGGGGGAATGACTTCTGATCCGCATGAGTGCCTGGACCAGCTTGCGCACCATTGGGGGGAAGTCTTTAGTAAGAAGCCCATCGAGCAGCCCCAGGCCACGATGTATATCGAGCGCTTCGGGATCCAGCATGGCGTTGCCAACATCAAGCCTCCAGATCTTGAACAAATTCAAAAGGCCCTCCGTAGGCTACCCAAGAGTGCTCCTGGCCCAGATGGGCTTCCTTATGCTGCCTGGGCCCATCGCCCTTCTGGAGCACCTGTTCTAGCTGATACCCTAGCCTGGATCTTGCAGGGGAACTCGACGCCGTTCGACGGTAACAATGTTCGAGGGGTCTTTATCGCCAAGGGTGAGGCCCCAGAAGATGCCACTTTTGTTGCCCGTGCCCCAGCCAATGCGCGTCCCCTCGGTCTGAAAAACGCCGGCTGCAATATCACCACGAACGTCGCTGTTAGGAGCCTCACCCTGGCAGCCGCAGATGCTGTCGACCCAATTCAACGAGGTTTCGTGGTGGGGCGCAACTTCGGCTTGAACATCTTAGAGCTTGACGTGGAAGCCCGAGCCGCGGGATTGAACGAAGACGCCATGAGCCGCCCCCCCTCCTTGCCTCCTGTGACTACTCCCAAGCGTCCCCCTCTATCGCTCATGATTGGTTGGCATTGGCCCTAGGAGCTCTTAAGATCCCTGACCCCCTTAGGCACCTCATTGCAGTTATTTATCAACATGTCTGCTGTTTCGGTATGCTAGGGACTGCTTCCCAAGTCCTGTTTTATATCCTTGCGGGGATCATTCAGGGCTGCCCAGCCTCGGGGGTGATTTATAGTCTAGCGTCGCATCTCTTTACGGTCTACTTTCGGCCCCTCATTATCACCCCGCGTAAAGGGATTGTCAGAGCCTGTGCGGACGACGTTGGTGCCGTGACCTACTCGATTCAACCCCTTCGGCGGCCCCACAAAGTCTTTCAAGCCTCTGCTCGCGTGGCAGGCCTTCACCTGAAGCCGCCCAAATGCTTCCTGGCGCCGTTGTCTGGCCCTTGCGCGCCCGAGCTGCGCGAGCAGATCTTGTTTTGGATTCGGGAAAACCTCCCGGCCTGGTCTGAGTTTCGGGTCGAGGGGCCCCTGGTTTATCTCAGGCTCAAGCTTGGGCCTTCGGTTCTGGACGACTCCTGGATTGGCCCGCTGATGATATATCAGATGAGGACGGCCCTTCTGGCGGAGGCACGTGCGCCGCCGTCGGTCACCGCCTTGTCGTACAGTCGCCGCGCGCTCACCACTCTTTCTTATGTCAGTCAGTTCAACATGTTGCCTCAATGGCATCGCAGGCGTGAGCGCGCAAATCTAGCTTCCATATATGCAGTACCTCACTGCTGCCTCAGCTTTGCCGGTTTCCTCGCTCTTGAGAAGTGGGGAGGGCCCAAATTCAGGAGCGCGGAGATCGTGAACCGCGCTTCGCTCATTCGGTGTGCCCTGGTGACGTTTCCTGAATGGCGGCCGCTCCTTGACCGCCTGCAAGCCCTGGCGGAGGCGTTTCTCCCAGCGGTACAGGTCTTGGAGGGACAGCTCTCGCCTGATTTCTGGCAGGCTCCGCCGCTTGCCAGTCTACTTTGCGAAGCCGCGTCTGGCTTCCAGAGCTCCCAGCAGTGGAGACGAGCGGGTCGTTTGGCGGTGGCTGAAGCGAATCGAGCCATCGCTGAGGGAGACCGAAAAGTGCAGCGTCGTGTAGGCAGAGTCCTGCAGGAGGTGATGTACCCAGACCCTCTCGAGCAGCTCTTTCAGAAACAATTACTCGCTTACTTCCCTGAAGCTCGGCAGCAAATTTTAAAGATCCCCTGGGGCCAAGTGCAGCGCACGATGCTTAAGCTCCCGAAAGAGTGGACCAATGCCATAATTAAAACCCTCTGTGGGGGGTGGACTACGGTTACCCGTCTGCACGAAACCCCAACTGGTGTAGGATATAACTATTGTTGTTTAGGTTGTCAAGCTAGAGATACTGTAGCTCACTATTTACAGTGTAAGCGATTTCAGGATTTGATTGACTCGGTCCTCGGTCGTCTGACCCCGTCGTGTCCTGTCGCCCCCCTTGGTCTTGATCCTCCCAGTCCTGAATCGCTTGTTATAGGTGTTGCCGCGTTCCATCTGTATAACCACATCAGTAGGTTGCCCCACGGACACAATCAAGGCATCGATCAGTCTGTTGCACAGGCGGTGTTGCAACAGGTGCGAGCCGAGGTTTGGCGTGTGGCGAGTGGAGGACTCAGGCCGCCTTAGCTGCGTGCCAGAAGGACGAGGAGGATGAGGATAGGGAAGGCGGTGGAGGACGAGGAGGAATAGGAGGAGGAAAGAGAAGGGTGAGGAGGAGGAGGCAGAGGAGGAGCGACCCAGACCCCCTCTGGTTGTGCACAGAGCACGCCAAAGGGTGTTGGGCCGTTTTCGTTTTTTTGGGGGGTCTCACCAGGGCCTGGGATCGTGAAGGCAAACTGCCCAGGGTGGACGAACAAACGGCCCGACGGAACGGAGGAAACGAGGGGCACGGCGAGGAAATCTCGAGGCAACGAAGGGAGGAGAAGCAAACCGGCACGAGGGAACGAGGGGGAAATCAAATATCGAGGGACAAGACCCACACACGCACGAATATACACACACACGCACACGCACACGCACACGCACACGCACACACACACACACACACACGCACACGCACACGCACACGCACACGCGCACACGCACACGCACACGCACACGCACACGCGCACACGCACACGCACACACGCACACACGCACACACGCACACGCACATGCACACACGCACACGCACACACGCACACGCACACGCACACGCACACGCACACGCGCACACGCGCACGCACACGCACACGCACACGCACACGCACACGCACACGCACTCACACTCACAGTCACATTCACACTCACACGCTCACACACTCACACACTCACACTCACACTCACACTCACACACTCACACTCACACTCACACACTCACACTCACACACTCACACATCCACACACTCACACACTCACACACTCACACACTCACACGCTCACACTCACACCCTCACACTCACACACTCACACACTCACACACTCACACACTCACACACTCACACACTCACGAACTCACAGTCACTCACTCACACTCACTCACACTCACAGTCACACTCACACTCGCACTCACACACTCACACCCACACTCACACACTCACACTCACACATTCACACTCACACACTCACTCACACACTCACACACTCACACACTCACTCACACACTCACACACTCACACACTCACACACTCACGGGATCAGGGGTCGCTTGCGAGCGAGGTCCTACAGGCGGCCCGGATTCGCAGGTCGACCCTGCCAGATCAAGGGCGCCCTCGTGTCCTGTGGCCTGCGACCCATGTTTTTTTGCATTTCCGTGGCAACGTGGCCCTCGGAAGGGTCTGGTGTCTTCTCGCGTGCCCTGTCTCCCTAATTAAAGCTGTGCGTCGCCCGCCTAGTTTTTGGCGGAAGAGGTTCGCTCTCGCCCCGCAGATCAAACAAATTGTGTCCTCTCGCGTGCCCTGCCCGATCAAGCCCGATCGCAAAGGAGAGGGGGCTGCGAAGACCAGGAGGCGAGCCCGCCGTCGCGAGCGGCGATACGGCGCGAGAGGCGAGCGCGGCGGCGGCGACCGCTGCGGGCGCCGCGGCGGGGGCTATGGGCGGCGCGCGGCGCGCGGGGGGCCGCATTTCGGGACTGCGCCGCGCGAGCCGCAGAGCTCGGGTCCCTGCCGTGGCCGAGGCAGTCGAACGTTGAGTCGCGCCTGTCCCTCTACCGGCGGGCAATTCAAACAAATGGTATGAAAATAGTCGGGGGGGTATTTTTGAACATGTTTGACCCTTGTGGAGTGTATGTTAAATATTTGTTTGACCATGTGGGAATATGTTTGAGCATTCTTTAGTTTTCGTCGGAAATCCTCCTGTAGGGGGACACGCCCGACTTGAGTCGAACGACGGAGCGGAATTGTCGGCGCTTGCCCACCGCTGGGGGTCCACGGCAGGCCCAATGCACCTGCTGGACGGACAGCCAGATCACGCGCGTCGGCTTGCGCGCCAGAAGCGAGAGGCCCCTCGACCGAGCGGGGGGCAACTGCCGTCTCTGGGCCAGCGCGACAGGGAGCAGCTCAGACAGGGAGCAGCTCAGGCAGGAGAGCGGAGAGCAGCGGCGAGCCGCGGCGGCGGAGCTTGCGGCGAGTTCGCAGCGATGGGCCGCCGAGCGGGTCCTCCTCGAGAGCGGGCTGGCGGAGGCGCGCCAGGGGTCGCAGCGGCCGGCGGCGGCGGAGCTGTGAGCGGGGCGCCCGGGCTCGCCGCGCGAGAACCACGTAAACGCGCTGCACTATGCGGTCACAGCGCGAAAGGGCGCTCGCGCGCCGCGAGGGCGCCGACAGAGAAGAGGTCAACATGCACCACCTCGACAGCTACGTGGAGGACCACGAGGCGGCGACAAAGCGCACCCCGAGGGCCGAGGGAGGCCGCCTCCCTCGGGGTGCGCCTTGTAGGAACCAGCTAACGTGCCATCGCGCCACCGCCGACAACTTCGCTGATGCAGGGACCAGCCAACGCGCCATCGCGGAGAATCCGCTGCGCTGCTACGGGCGGGTCTGGGCTACAGCGAGCACGGCGAGGGCGGGGAATGCGGCGCGCGCGCAGGTTACCATCGGCCGACAGCGGACAGCCAGCAGGGGCCAGAAGAGGGCGAGACGAGCCCATTGAAAACCCCCAAAAATCGTTGAACCTCCAGTCGCAACAAAAAAAAACAAAAACACCTGAGCGACGAAAAACCTCAGCGACGAAAAACCTGAGCGATGAAAGCCCATTGAGAACCAAAAAACCTGAGCGACGACTAGCAGCCGCGGCCGCACACCACGCGCGACCCGTTGAGACCGAGGCGGGGCGAGGGATGGACGCGCGTCGCTGCCGCGACGGGGTTGCCACCGCGGCGACGGCACTGACGGCGATCAAGGGGCGGCCTGGGACGCCCTGAAAGGACCACCCCCCCGCAACCGGACGCGGCGTCGGCTGCCGCGGCGTCGAGGCCCACCTCCCGCGCTTGTTCGGGTGGCCGAGCGAGAACGGCGCTGTTTACAGCGCGCCGCGCGCGGCCTCGGCGACGGAGCCGCTCTTCGGCCAAGGCGCAGGCGACGCGCCGCAACGAGCAGGCGGGCTGCAGGCAGCTCGGCGAAGCACGAGCTCAAGGACTCACCACCCACCAAAGCGCCCCAACCCAACCCGAAGGCTACAATTTGCCTTCCATCTCCAGTGTGGGGGGGGGGTCGGGGAGCACCTGCAAAAATGCATGGAACCCGTACCCCCCCCAACCCGAAATTCGACTCAAATTCGGGTCTTCGGGTTGGGTTGGGGTGGTCTGGTAGGTAGTCAAGGACTGGGCCCAGCGGGGGGGGGGGGGGGCGGCGAGGTGGGCGCGCCGCCGCGGGCGTTCGGAGCGGGCGCCGAGGACCCACGCCGCCCTCGGAGCCGCGGGGCTCGCGGGCCGACGAGGAAGCCGACGCCGCGGCGCTGGCCCGCCGCCTGCCGGCGGCCGCGCGCGGGCCGCCCGCCGAGGGCGAGGGCGGCGGGCGGGCGCCGAGCCCGCGCCGCCTGCCCGCGGCCCCGCCGCGCCGCGGCCCGCGGCCCTCGGCGCGGCCTGCGGCGAGCGGGCGCGCAGACCCGCGCCGAGGCCTGCAGGGGCGCCCCGCCGGCGCGGGCGAGGCCGCGCCGGCGGCGAGGCCGCGGGCCTGCTCCCGCGAGGGCCTGTCCTGGTCCGCCGAGTCTGCACGAGCGAGAGGGGCACGGAGAGCATGGGCACGATGCCCAACAGCAGTTCTGGTTCATGTTGTTTTTCTCGGACTGAATTTCGTGACACTTAGGTCCGGGATGTTTCTAGGAGTGTGCCCCGCGGGCGCCTTCCAGGTCCGCCCCCTCTGGCTTAGAGCGTGCCCCGCGGGTGCCTTCAAAAAAAGAGCAGTTCCTGTTCATTTTGAGCAGGACTCCCTGTCCGCGCCGCCGCGGCCTGTGTCTATTCGGAGCAGAAGGCCGCCTGCCCAACAGCGGCCGCTGCTGGTTTGGGGCAACATTTGATGTTGGGCAGTGTTCCCATTCTTCCCGTGCCCGTTTCGGGCGTTCAAACCCTAGGCCGCGCGCCTGCCCCCGCGATGGCCTCTCCTGGCCCGACGATGTCCTGGACCAGGCTGCGTCTCAGTGCAGAGACCTCGGGGCCCACGCCGGGCAACAACAGAAAACCACGGCGTTGGAGGTTTTTGTTTGTGCCCCCCGCGGCCGCTTGCGCGCTTTGTTCCTATTTATTCTTGCACGCCGGGCAGTTCGCACGTCGGTTGCCCCGAGTAGTCACACGCTGGAGTGGACTGCCTCGGCCTCGCCGCCGCCGGACCAACTGTGTCTCCCCTCAGGATCGTTCAACCGATGCCCATCACCATCCCCGTCCCCATCCCCACCACCCCACCGCCCCAGCAGGGGACATGCGCCTCGAAGGCCGAAGGGGACAGCCCCTATCCACATCGAGGGAGTCAAATCGACCAGTGGTGCCCAGGCCACGCCCATGGGGTTCGGGATCGGTTAAGTCGGAAACTGGAACATATACATTACCAGCGGCGGGCTGTTTTTCAACCCCAGGACTTGTTTGAGGGTCGGGGACGACGTCGGGGTGGGGTGGTGTATACTTTTAATTCGTTTCCCAGGGAATCAGCGGCACATGTATACATCTGGGTCCCGTATACACCAGGATCCGCGCTCATGTGCAAACTTCAGTACAGGGCCTGAAAACGCGTCGGTGTATAGAGTTCGGTTCCTTATTTCGACGATGCTCATCCCCACCCCACACAGGAAGGTGCACGGGCACACCATCGGCCTGGAGGAGCCCGAGGGTTCCCCACCGCCCCGCCGCCCACCACGGAAGAGCGGAGGAGGAGGAGGAGGGAGAGGAGGAGGAGGAGGAGGAGGAAAAGGAGGAGGAGGAGGAGGAGGAGGAGGAGAGAGGAGGAGGAGGAGGAGGGAGGGGAGGGAGGAGGGAGAAGGGAGGAGGGAGGAGGGAGGAGGAAGGAGGAGGAGGAGGAGGAGGAGGAGGAGGAGGAGGAGGAGGGAGTAGGGAGGAGTAGGGAGGAGGAGGAGGAGAAGGAGGAGGAGGAGGAGGAGGAGGAGGAGGGGGAGGAGGCATGTCGGACGCCACCTTGAGCCAGGCCGGACAATGTTGTTGAAACAAGCCGGACATGTTGGAGTCCACGTGGCGGCAGATTCGAGCCATGTTGGTCAACGAGCTGCCCAAGGATATATCGAGTGGCCCCCTGGGGGCATGCTGGAAGCTATCTTGAGCCAGGCTGGACAATACTGTTGAGCCAAGCCGGACATCTCGGAGTCCGCATGACGGCAGATTCGAGCCATTTTGGTCAACAAGTTCCCCAAGGATATCTCGAGGGGCCCCGTGGCGGCATGTTGGAAGCCATCTTGAGCCAAGCCGGACAATGTTGTTGAGCCAAACCGGTCAGATTGGAGTCCACATGACGGCAAATTCGAGCCATGTTGGTCAACAAGTTTCCCAAGGATGTCCTGAGGGGCCGCAGCCCTTGAGATTTTGCTGCGATCGTGTCGTGAGAAGCCATGGGCCCTTCACTGCAGCCCTTCCGTCGGAGTCCACAGGATCGCCCGTCGGGACACTCTGGCTCTGGGGGCCGTCTCGGAGCCCTCCCGGGCCGCTGTTCGGCGACCTCTTGAACCGAAAAGACGGCAAAGCACAAAACATTGAGCCACCCAAGAGTTTTACGCAATTTGGGATTGTTCGAGTATCTTACGCCATTCCGCCCACTTCCAGGAGGAGGGAGAGCTTGCGGCGCTCAGGAAGATTGACTGTTGGGCCAGGAGGCTCTTGGATGCATATGAGGATATTTGAGGGGTTCTTGGGATGCTTTTCAGATGCATCTTGGAGGGCTCGTTTTTGCATCGGGGGGCGTTTCCGGGGCTCTTGGGGGCCTCTTTTGAGGCCATCTTGCGGCCAACGGCTCGACATGTTATTCTATGCTCGATCTCTATGGCCACTCTTGGGGCCCTCGTGGGCCTCTCTAGGCCGTCTTGGGGGCCCTTGGGCCGCCTTGGGACACTCCTGGGCCGTCTTGGGGTTCTCTTAGGGGTCTCATAGCCCTTCGTGGGACGATCTCGGGTGCTTATTTGGGCATCTTGGACGCTGCAAAGACAAAGCATGCGAGTGTTCCAAACATGCAAGATTTCTTCACGTAGTGGGACGACTGTTGCTCCTGGAGCCGTCGCGGCGGTCCTCTGTAAGCACTCTTGGGCCGTCTTGGGGGCCTCGTGTGCCGCCTCGCAGCAATCTTGGCTTGCCGTGGGGCTACCCTGCCCTGGGCCGTCTCGACGCTCTCTTGGGCTGTCTCGGCGCTCTGCGCAGGTCCTCTGGAGCCGTCTTTCGGCCCTTTGGAGGCTCTGGAGGCCTGGGGGGGGCAGGGGGAGGGGGGCAGCCAGACGTCTCGCGCGCCTCCTTATCCCCGGCAAGCGGTAGAGAGTGAAACCTGTATCCGACGGATCTGCCGTCGACGATCTGTGGATCCTCCAGCGATCTGCGGATTGGGCGGGTCTTCAGAGCGGATCTCCGCCCAATCTGCGATGCGGTTTTCTTTCGATCCTGCGGATTGGGCGGATCCTTTCTAGCCGCGCGCGCGGTCCTGTCAGACCCGGCAGCGTAGATCGTCGGCGGATTGGGCGGATCGTCGAGGCGCAGTGTGGGGGGGGGGCGTCTTGGACGTCCGTGGAGAGCCGTCGTGCTTCGTCCTGGGCTCTAGCGCGCCGGCTCTCAGGAGGGAAAAAACAAACAGACGCAGTTAATCGCCCACTCCCAGGAAATATGGGAAATGATCCCAGTGCGACCCTACCCAGGAGTTGGAGCCCCTAGGGAAGCAGCATTAGTAGTAACGGTAAAGCTAAGCTGAAGCTAAGCTAAAGTTAGGTTAAAGCTAAGCTAAAGCTAAGCTAAAGCTAAGCTACAGCCAAGCTGCAGCTAAGCTACAGCTAAACTAAAGCTAAGCTAAAGCTAAGTTGAAGCTAATGCTAAAGCTAAAGCTAAAGCTAAGCTAAAGCTAATGCTTATGATAAAGCTAAAGCTAAGGCTAGGGGGCGCAACTGGGGGAACCGCGGGTCGGGGACCGGGGGAACCGCCCGGGGCGAAGCCCACTGCCCGGCCGCTTTAGGCCCAGCGAATCAGAACCCTCTAGGCAAAACCTAGGTAGGGAAATATGGGCAGTGGGGGGGAAGACTGAATCCTAGAAAATATGGAAACATTGATTTGTGTGTATTGATTTGTGTGTCACAGGGCCCTTTCAAGCTTGGATACCATCTTGGGATACAGGCAGCCCGCATGGCAAGGATGGGCAACCTGCCCAATGGGGCCCCTGCGTCCCTGCCTCCTCGGCCCGCACCTGGCCGCCTTCGGTGGCGCGCCCCGCACGACGGGCTCCGAAACGGCCTTCCAGGGCCCCCCCGGCAGGGCCACCCCGGCGCGGTGGGTGCCCCCCCCCCCCCCCCTGGCGGCTGCTTGCCCCGTCGAGCTGCGAGCGGGTGGTCGCGTCGCTTCCCCCTTCCTCGCCCCGCCCGCGCTGCAGCCCCTGCGGGCGTGGATTCTGCGAGGGTCGAGCGAGAGCCGCTGGACTGAAGTCGGGCGTTTCCCTCTGCAGGGGGGGGCTGCTCAAAAGTGGTAGAACGACAGTCTGGGGACGATGTGTTTGACCACCGTTGGCTAGGTTTGGGTATTTGTGTTTCTGGTCTCTGTTTGCTCGTTGTCCAGAATCCGCCTGTAGGGGGACATGCCGGACCTAACACTTGAGAGACGCAAGCAAAGAGACCACGGGGTCGTCTGCGCCGACATTGGCGCGTGAGCTTCCCGCGCAAGCTCGCGCGTAGGCGCCCTCGTCTCCAATGCGGCGTGCCGCGCCGGCGACCCGCGTAGGCCGCGGCGCAGGGTCGCCACGTCACCACGCGCATAACCCGTGGGAAAAAAAAACACACTGTGGGAAAAACACGAAAGTCTATGGATAAAAACACACACACACACACACACACACACACACACACACACACGCACACACACGATCGTCTGTGGGAACAAACACACTGTGTGTGTGTGTGTGTGTGTGTGTGTGTGTGTGTGTGTGTGTGTGTGTGTGTGTGTGTGTGTGTGTGTGTGTGTGTGTGTGTGTGTGTGTGTGTGTGTGTGTGTGTGTGTGTGTGTGTGTGTGTGTGTGTGTGTGTGTGTGTGTGTGTGTGTGTGTGTGTGTGTGTGTGTGTGTGTGTGTGTGTGTTTTTCCCAACCATCCTGTGGTGTTGGGTCCTCGTTTTGAAGAGACGGTGCCCCGCGTTCCTCTCCTTCCTCCTCCTCCTCCCCCTCCTTGCCTCTGCTCTCGGCACACCTCTCACGCGTTTCGTAGCCCCATAGGGAGCTCCACCGAAGGCCCCAGTGGGGGTGTTCGCATGCGGTTCCCCCACCCAGGGCAGCGTTTCGTGGCCCCATAGGGAGCTCCACCGAAGGCCCCAGTGGGGGTGTTCGCATGCGGTTCCCCCACCCAGGGCAGCGTTTCGTAGCCCCATAGGGAGCTCCACCGAAGGCCCCAGTGGGGGTGTTCGCATGCGGTTCCCCCACCCAGGGCAGCGTTTCGTGGCCCCATAGGGAGCTCCACCGAAGGCCCCAGTGGGGGTGTTCGCATGCGGTTCCCCCACCCAGGGCAGCGTTTCGTGGCCCCATAGGGAGCTCCACCGAAGGCCCCAGTGGGGGTGTTCGCATGCGGTTCCCCCACCCAGGGCAGCGTTTCGTGGCCCCATAGGGAGCTCCACCGAAGGCCCCAGTGGGGGTGTTCGCATGCGGTTCCCCCACCCAGGGCAGCGTTTCGTAGCCCCATAGGGAGCTCCACCGAAGGCCCCAGTGGGGGTGTTCGCATGCGGTTCCCCCACCCAGGGCAGCGTTTCGTGGCCCCATAGGGAGCTCCACCGAAGGCCCCAGTGGGGGTGTTCGCATGCGGTTCCCCCACCCAGGGCAGCGTTTCGTAGCCCCATAGGGAGCTCCACCGAAGGCCCCAGTGGGGGTGTTCGCATGCGGTTCCCCCACCCAGGGCAGCGTTTCGTGGCCCCATAGGGAGCTCCACCGAAGGCCCCAGTGGGGGTGTTCGCATGCGGTTCCCCCACCCAGGGCAGCGTTTCGTAGCCCCATAGGGAGCTCCACCGAAGGCCCCAGTGGGGGTGTTCGCATGCGGTTCCCCCACCCAGGGCAGCGTTTCGTGGCCCCATAGGGAGCTCCACCGAAGGCCCCAGTGGGGGTGTTCGCATGCGGTTCCCCCACCCAGGGCAGCGTTTCGTGGCCCCATAGGGAGCTCCACCGAAGGCCCCAGTGGGGGTGTTCGCATGCGGTTCCCCCACCCAGGGCAGCGTTTCGTAGCCCCATAGGGAGCTCCACCGAAGGCCCCAGTGGGGGTGTTCGCATGCGGTTCCCCCACCCAGGGCAGCGTTTCGTAGCCCCATAGGGAGCTCCACCGAAGGCCCCAGTGGGGGTGTTCGCATGCGGTTCCCCCACCCAGGGCAGCGTTTCGTAGCCCCATAGGGAGCTCCACCGAAGGCCCCAGTGGGGGTGTTCGCATGCGGTTCCCCCACCCAGGGCAGCGTTTCGTGGCCCCATAGGGAGCTCCACCGAAGGCCCCAGTGGGGGTGTTCGCATGCGGTTCCCCCACCCAGGGCAGCGTTTCGTGGCCCCATAGGGAGCTCCACCGAAGGCCCCAGTGGGGGTGTTCGCATGCGGTTCCCCCACCCAGGGCAGCGTTTCGTAGCCCCATAGGGAGCTCCACCGAAGGCCCCAGTGGGGGTGTTCGCATGCGGTTCCCCCACCCAGGGCAGCGTTTCGTGGCCCCATAGGGAGCTCCACCGAAGGCCCCAGTGGGGGTGTTCGCATGCGGTTCCCCCACCCAGGGCAGCGTTTCGTGGCCCCATAGGGAGCTCCACCGAAGGCCCCAGTGGGGGTGTTCGCATGCGGTTCCCCCACCCAGGGCAGCGCTTCGTGGCCCCATAGGGAGCTCCACCGAAGGCCCCAGTGGCTGCTCTCGCATGCGGTTCCCCCACCCAGGGCAGCGTTTCGTGGCCCCATAGGGAGCTCCACCGAAGGCCCCAGTGGCTGCTCTCGCATGCGGTCCCCACCCAGGGCAGCGCTTCGTGGCCCCATGGGGAGCTCCACCGAAAGCCCCCGTGGCGCAGTTCGCATGCGCTTCCCCCACCCAGGGCAGCGTTTCGTGGCACCATAGGGAGCTCCACCGAAGGCCCCAGTGGCGCAGTTCGCATGCGGTTCCCCCACCCAGGGCAGCGTTTCGTAGCCCCATAGGGAGCTCCACCGAAGGCCCGCCCCGGTGGCGCAGTCCGCATGCGGTTCCCCCATCCAAGGCAGCGCTTCGTGGCCCCATATGGAGCCCCACCGAAAGCGGCACCCACAACGCGTTACCAACAATTGCTTATGGTTGGGTCTTTCGCCAGGATAATTTGTCCACGATCGTCGCTCACTTGGAAAAGGCGGTCAGAAGAAGGCACTCGCTGAGCCACCTGCCCCCAGAGGTCTGGTGGGATTATGTGTTGGCATGCTGCAGCCTGTTCCGGGCCAGGAGCACGTGCGGATGAGCAGAAATGGCAAGCTGGTGGGAACCAAGATGCACGATGCTCTGGTGCTTCGTTGGCACTGGTATCGTAGAACTGCCGAGGGGGTAGGGTCGGCTTGTGCCATAGAAGCGGCTTGTGCGGAGGAGGAAGAGGAGGAAGGAGGGATGAGCCTACTCCGAGGCGGGAATTTATACATGACCACCGCCTGGAGGGTCACTTTTCGGAGCCTCGGCAGGCGGCGGATATGGACATATTCGGGCCCCCAGGGGCCGAAATGTCTCCATATCCACCGCACGCTGGGGCACCAGGACGTCGGTTGCCAGGCGGTAGATATGGATAAATCCCCGCCTCGCACCTACGTCTCATTCTCCTCCCTATCCCTCCTCCGTCCTCCTATCGAAGGAGCTGCCGGAGTGGGCCGGGAAGATCCTGGCAGGGGAAGTGCAGGGCCGGGTGGTCGTCGACCTGGACAGGTGAGGGCCGCCGGGGTAGCACCCTCGCGTGCTCTGTCGGCCACGCCGAAAAGTCGAGGCCCCGCACATGGCGTTCAGTGATGGGGCGGCGCGCGCCTGGAGATGTCTCCGGACATCGGGGGTGGGCAGACCTCCTAACCCTGACACGTCGACGAAGGAATTGGCCGTTTTCGGTTCGCGGGAGGGCGTCGCGGCCGTCATTTTTGCGGGTCCAGGTCCGTCGGTTTCGGTCCCAGGCCTTTTTCACTAAGGTGAGGTCTACTAGAGGGAGGTTCGTTCACCGCCGATAAACGTTGTCTCGCTAGACTTCGATAGTGTTTCGTTTCTCGGTTGGGGAGGGAGGTACAGGAAAGCAGGAAGAGCAAAACGAAACGCAAGACGAAAACAAAACGAAAGAAACACACGAACAACAACGTTTAGGTCCAGCCCTGATCGGACGGGGTCCCTGGAAGACCCGACCTGTTCCCCGGGACCAGTTTTTCACTCTGCGGTGTTTTTTGACGGTCCCGAGGCCCGGCGAGGGCCTCCTCAGGCCGAAATCGGCAACAACAAAAAAGAAGCCGTCCTGATTTTCGTACGGCGCGATCAGCCCTGTCATCGTAGGGCTCCGCCCCGGCAGCCCTTCATCCACAGGAGGGCGGGATGCAGCGCGCCGGTCGCGCTGCCCGCCCGGGTCGGCGAGCGCGTGCCGCTCGCGTTCCCCCTCCGAGGGGGCATGCTGGTCGCCACACCCCTGCGCTCCTAAGAGGGGCCCTTCGATCACATGACTTCGCTGCCCGTTTCGGGGACCTTCCTGGAGCCCACCCAACGGATCTGTTCGACCCCAGTTCGACCCCAGTTCGACTCAGGTTCGACTCAGGTTCGACTCGGGTTCGACTCAGGGTCGACTCAGGTTCGACTCAGGGTCGACCCAAATCGACTGACGTTCGACGCAGCTTCGACGCACGAGTGGAGCGAGTGGCCCCAGGAAGGTCCCCGGAGCGAGCATCCATCACGTTACGCACGCTGCTCGAGTGGGGCCCGAGCGTCAGGGGTCCTTCCATCACGTTGCACCTCCTAAGTTTCAGTCGGGCAGGTCCCTCCACAGGAGGAGCAGTCCGAAAGTATCCAAACATGGTCTGGGGACGATTTTTTTTGGGGGGGGGCGGGCTCCTTAGCGGTTTGGGGTTTTTTTTTTTGCCCAAACTCCGCCTCTAGGAGGACACGCCCGACCTAACGTTGCTGCTCGAAGGGGGCCCGAGCGAAAAGGGGGCACCGCCGCAGGGGGCGGAGCCTCTATGCAGGAGGGCGGCCCCGGCGTGCCCCCGAGCGGCCCTCATGAGACTGCGGCCGCGGCCCCAAGAGGTGCCGGCAAGGTGCGCCCGTCGCCGCCGCCCGCTCGTCTGTTTCGAGCAGTGGCGATGCGTCCCGGCCCGCCTATGGCCCCACCAAACAATGTTCTAAGAATTGGTTGTGGTTCCCCCGAACTGTTCTCAGAACATTTCTGGCTGGGACTGTCTTGTTTTAACACGTCGGGTTCACGTTCTAAGAACTTCGGTTTTGTTCTTAGAACATGTTTGGGTTCTAAGAGCATTTCGTGGTATGACTATAGGAATGCCAGGACGGTCGGTCCCTGCTCAACCTTTCCTCCTCGTGGGCAGACGTCAGCGACCAATGGCCCCACGGCGCCAGTCGAGTCCCAAAGCCTCCTGGGTCGCGCAAGGTCCGCCTCCAAGGGCTCGAGGACCTTCTGCTGACCGACCCGCCGGGCGCAAGCCATATATCACTCCAGGCAGATCCAGGCACAGCTCACTCTGCCAAGCAAGCTTCAGAGATATCGATGGGGGTACGTCTGGAGCAACTCGTGGGCCTTCCAGCCTGCGTTCCGGGCCAGCAGGAGCCGCGAAGCCCTCCAGGAAATCCGCACGGGGCCGCCAAGGGGGGCCCTCTTTCTCCACCTCGGCCCGAGGCCGCGCGTGTTCGGATACCCCTACGCGCGCGCGTGCGGCATGGGCGCCCCCTGGCGCCGCGGCGCCGCGGCGCTGGCGCTGCTCGACGTGGCGGTGCTGCCCGCGCTGGCCTCCGCGCCGGCTCCGCGCCGGCTCGCGGGGCCCCCGCGCTACGCCGTGGACCTCGGTGGAAAGCAAACTACCAGCACAGTCAAGCCAACACACAAGATCTTACCAGCCTCGAACGTATCCCTATCCCTAAGATTGACACGCCCAAAGGCGATGACAATCTTAGGGATTCGCCCTCAAAACATAAAGGAAATCCCTAAGATTGGCATCGTGATGAGGAGGTGCCCAGCATAGGGATAGGGATATGTTCCAGGCTGGTAAAGATCAGCATCAGCCACAATGAAACCAAGCTTCGACCACCAAATCCACCAACCAACCAAAATCAAACCAACTCACATCGGCTACAGTCAACACTACACAACTACCAGATACAATCGAATGACCTTGCCCCCGAGACCCTGGCGCTGCAGTTGTCACACCACGGGCGTCGTCGCCCCGTTTCGGGCCCCGGGGCCCTCGCGCGGCGACCCGGCCGGAAGAGGGGCGCAGAAGGATGGAGTCCGGGGCTTCCGGTGATGATGTCTGCAGTGCTGCATTTTTGTCGCAAGGCCAGATCTCAGGGAAGCTCTTTGTGTTGTTGCTGGGTATTCTTGTGCAGCCTGGTAAGGAGGGTGCCCTCGAGCGTTCTTCAGTTCGGCCGGCGGAGGGCCTCACTCACTCGGGAGGGAAAGAAACACACAGACACAATTAATCCTCGATTTCCCAGGAAATATGGGAAAATCTGGGAAGTGGGGGGGAAGACAGAAACCCCGAAACTATTAGAAAATATGGGGAATCCTTTTATTGGTGTGTATTTATTTGTGTGTCCCAGGGCCCTTTCACTCACTCACGTTCTTGAAGGATGGCTTTCTGTCCTGGGTCCTTCCGCACCGCCAGCTGTCCCAAGGTTCCGCCTCTGTTGGGCCTCCTGGTAGCGGCCCCCGTCGTTACGGCCGGCTTCGCTCTGCAAATCTGGTCAGAGTGCGCTTGGGGAGAGGCCCGGGGAGCAGCGGTATCGGCACCGTCCTCGGCACCCGCCGACGGTCTTCAGGAAGGAAAAAGACACACAATTTCTCGTCGATTCCCCCGAAGATATAGACAAGCATGGGAAGTGGGGGGGAAGACAAGAACCAAGAACATCTAGGAAAAGATGGGGAATCCTGTTATTTAGTTGTGTTCATTTGTTTGTGCGTCCCGGGGCCCCTTCACGTCCGCCGACGGCCTGTTCTTCTCCCGTCCGCGGCCCCCAGAAGTTCCAACCCCTTCCGCGGGGCCAGCTCTCCTGCCCAGCCCAGTTTTCCATGGCCCTGGGGCCCGACAACGGACCCAAGAGGCTGAGATCGAGGAAAATTGGCCCGAAACACAAGGGCGCCCTCGAGGACGCGAAGTCCTTCGCGCTTCGCGCTTCGCGGTTCGGCTCCGATTCCTCCTCATCCTCCCCTTCTCCCCTGGGAGGCGGCGCGAGAGCGCGAAGTTGTCCGCGCTTCGCGCAGCGCGAAGCGCGAAGTGGGGAGCCCTTGGAAACAAAAACAAAAATAAGCACCGTCAAATCTCCAGGTCCGGGTTCCCCCCCCAGGACCCGTCGTGGAGCCCCGCGTTCCCAGAGGGCACCGGGCTCTACAGCGCGGTGGCCGTGTCCGGGGACAGCGTCTTCGTCGCCCAGAGGACCACCGCCAGAGCGTGTAGCCGTATGTCGGGCACATCCCTCTACAGGAGGACTATTTAAACATAGTCAAACAATAGTCTGGCTGTTCTAGGGCCATTTTCTGACTATTTCTATTTGTCGTCGAAAATCCGCCTGTAGGGGGACATGCCCAACCTAAGTGTAGCCATACCCACCGCCTCTGAGTCGTGCCTCGGGACTTTCAGGCGCCTCTGGAGGCGTGGTGGATCTGCGAGGGAAAACACGATGACCATGACCATGATGTCGCGGGATCTTGTCGACGCCGGTCTTGGTCACGATCCATGCCGGCCGTCGCCGACTCGCGAGGCTGATCTTCGAGTTTACGACGACCAAGATGGGCGATTACTAAGATCGTCACCGACGGTTCCACGTTCAGTCTTGGATGTGGATATTTGTGCGCCCTTAAGGGTGGGAAAGTACTCTCGCCCACCACTCCAAGGGATTCGAGACAGGACTTCAGCGGCTGTGGATGTGGATGCAGTAGCCACGGCAAAAAAAAAATGGCCTGCCAGAAGGTCACAGAAGTTTTTTTTCCCCTTATGGCCTTGGGGACCTGCAAAAGCCATTGGGCACCTCAGGAAGTTCGAAGATAGATGTCTCATCGCAAGGTTTCTTATCATATGTGCTTGCTGTATCTCCTGGTGGTGCAAAGAGGGACGCCCGCTTCGCTGACCAGATCCTGGTGCTCGACAAGAAGGGCAGGCTGCTGAACTCCTGGGGGGGCAGCGCGGGCATCATCGGCAAGGCCAGAAGGGGGGAGGAGAAGTGTCACGATCACCACCGCCAGCCATTTCCAGCGGGGAGGTCCACGATGCTTCCCCAAATCTCCGACGAGGTGATTCAAAAGCTTACGCCCCACCGCCGATCCCTCGGCCCAGCTCCAGCAAGGTCTTCGAATGCGAAGGGGTTTTGCGACGTCCAAGGATGCGAGAACACCTATGTCTGGATTTGTATAGGAGGGCAGTGTCACCGTGACTGGAGGCGTCGTGGAGGCCACCCTGGGCCTCTCTGGATGCTTCGCGAGGTGCATGTCCAGAGCGCGTCGAGCATACAGCCGGGGCCCTGCAGAAGGAACCCTTTTCGTTGAGGAGGGGCTCGGTGTTCCTTGATTGTTCTACAGTTGGCCTTCTGTTTTCCGGAGGTTTCCCATGGGAAATCGAAGTTCAATTTATGGGAGAAAGGGGCCCGTTCCTTATTTAGGGTTCCTTATGTCAACGTCCCGACTGTAGGCATTTGGGCGCTCCTGGGCCCTCGTGGGTGTCCTCCTGGAGCCCTCTGCGGGTGTCTTGTCTTGGAGGTTTCTTGTGTTGTCTTCAGGCCTTGCGGCCACGCGGAGGCCACGTGGGGGCCATCTTGGGCCGTCCTGGGGCCATGTCGATGCTGTCCCGGGCCACTTCTGAAGCAAACGACCCCCCCAGCGGGATCCGGCCAACTCAGGCCGGCCCCCCCCCTTCCAAACCGGCCGGGTCGAGCTCTTGGGGGAGGGTTTTGGGGAGGGGCAAGCGTCTCACATGCCGAGTACCCCCCAAGGGGTCCATTGATTGTGTTCAATCGTGCACGGCGGTCGTTGAATTTAGGTATTCTCGGACTCCCAGATCCCAATCTGTTTCGGGTGCCTTCCTACTTCAAGAATCGGCAATGGTCTTGATGTGTTTTGTTATCCTCTGGAAGGCGCTACGACCCCCGTCGTGGCGCGACGACGAGGCGAGGTTGCCCCCCACTGTGGGGAGGGGGGGCCCCCCACGCTCCTTAAGTAAGACACCCAGAGTCGGGTTTTTCATTCGTCTCGGCCTGTGGCGGCCGCTTTCGGGGCCCGGGGCCAGCAAGACTGGCTCCGGAACGTAAGACGGGCCCCGGGGAAGGGGTCAGGAGCTCTGGTCAAGGGAAGTTCCCCCCGGGCTGGAGTTTGGAGGCGTCTCCGGGCGGGGTGCCGCAGGACGTGGGCCTTCAACCCATCGGGAGGGCCTCCCCCCCAACAACAGCTTCCTTCGACGGTAGTGGTGGTGGGGCCGAGTGTTCTCCCTCTTGCGGTCTGACAGAGGTATAAAAGATCGAGGCCGGTGCGGGAAGGGTACCCTGATGTTCTTCGTGCTTCTTGGAGGTTCTTGCGCATCTTGCGGGAGGGTGCCCTCGAGCGATCAGATATGGTTGGGGTGAGTTTTGGCCGGCGGAGTGGAGTGTCTCATGCTTTGGAAGGCTGTTTTTCTGTCCTAGGTTCAAGTCGGGCACGTCCCTCTACGGGGGGGATATTCAGAAATAGTCAAAAAGATAGTCTGGGGACGATTTGGTTTTACAAATGTGCGACCGTTATTGTTGCGCATGGTGTGGCTAGTTCTCATTGCTCGTCCAAGCTGTGCTTGTAGGAGGACCTGCCCGACCAAATCCTAGGTCCGACGTCTTGCTCCTGCCACGGATCCCTCCGCTCCGCTGCGCTCCTCGTTGCTGCCCTCTCCTGTCGCGCGTGGGCTCTCCGGGCCGAAGGGGCTTCGGGATGGGAGCGCTGGGAGCGCTGTGGGCACCGAGGACCCCTCCCTGGGTCCTCGCGTCTGCGGTGGTGTCTGCTTGGCCATGGTTGACATTGGATCGAGCTTTTCGTGCGTACCGGCACTGCACGCACAGGTGCTCAAGTGTAGAGTTGGTGGCCCAGGGTCGTCTCCGATGATTCTCGCGCCTTGAGCGTGTCTGCTTGGTTGAAAAAGTGCGCCAGTAGCATACACGCCATCAGCAGATCCCCCCCCCCCGCACATTCCCATGCCCCTGCACATCACCGCCCACCAAGCCACCCCAACCCAACCCGAAGGCCCCGATGTGCCCTCCATCTCCAGTGGGTGGGGGGGGGGTCGGGGAACATGGAAACAAAATGCACGGACCCCGTACCCCCCCCAACCCGAAGTTCGAGTCTAGTTCGTGTCTTCGGGTTGGGTTGGGGTGGTCTGGTAGGGAGTCAGCAAAGGATCAGGAGGGAAAGAAACACACAGGCACAATTTTTAAAAAACGATTCACCAGAAAATATGGGAAAATAGAGAAGTGGGGGGGAAGACAAGAACCCAGAGAATATGGGAACATATGGGGAATCATGTTGTTTGTGTCTATTTATTTGTGTGTCCTAGGGCCCCTTCAAAGGAGAACGACACGTGGGGGAACCACGGCCTGGGCGTCCAGCCGGCGGACCCAGAGGCCGGGCGCCCCGAGGACGTCGTGTGGGTCATGGACTTCTACGGGCACCAGGTGTTGTCGTTCGCCCTCGACGGCGATCGAAGACGAGCCGGTTGCATAAACATTGACTTTCGTTGAGTCGGGCCTGTCCCTCGACAGAGGGGAAACTCAAGAATAGTAATAAAAGACTAGTCCGGGGACAATGTGTCTGACTATTTTTGACCGTGCAAGGGCATTTTTCTACTGTTTCTAATGTTTCGTCCAAACTCCCCCGGTAGGGGGACATGCCCGACCTAAGACCATCGAGGCTCCGCGCGGTTTTCTTGGGATTGGGGGGATTCGGAAAGGGGGGGGTACGAAATCTGCTGCATGTAGCTGGTTTCGGCCCCACCGAGGGGCCCATTCCTCGATACATGGCCGCCTCCCGGCGCCGGGAGGCGCAGGGAAAATCAGCTGCGTGAGCCGATTCTCAAACCCCCCTTCTTTGCTATCCCCCCCTTTCGCCCGGCCCTAGAGACACGGGCGGTCCAGCGCCGCTCCCAGAAGAGCGCGCGGGTCTCCGCAGGTCCATGTCCATGCAGCTTGTTCCGGGAGGGGGGAAAACAACGCAGACACAAATACTCGACGATCCCGGAAAATAAGTGAAGCGGGGGGGACGACGAAAAAATCGACGATCCCGGAAAATAAGTGAAGTGGGGGGGAGGACGAAAATGTTTGGCATCCTGGGATTCGTACGCATTTATTGCGAAGGCCTGACGGCCGGTGCCGCCGACCTTGAAAAGGACCACGACGTCGGCGACGAAGTGGGCGGAGACGGAGGCCGTGGAAGATGAGGAGGAGGAGGAGGAGGAGCCGAGGAGGAGGAGGAGGAGGAGGAGGAGGAGGAGGAGAACGAGGAGGAGGATGAGGAGGAAAAGGAGGAGGAGGGAGGAGGAGGGAGGAGGAGCATGGAGATGGAGGTTGGAGCAGGAGGGGGAGGAGGAGGGGGAGGAGGTGGGAGGAGGAGGAGGAGAAGGTGGACGAGGAGGAATCCTGGGATTTGTATGTATGTATTAGTTGTGTGTCTTTGGGCGTCTTGCTTGTTGTTCCTTCAGGCAAGCTCCTCGGGAGGGCAGGGCGCGCCGACCACGCCGCCTCCTTCGGCGCCTCCGGCTTCGGGAGCGTGTCCGACGTCGTCTTCCACGGCGGCAGCGCCTTCTTCGCCGACGGCGATGGCGGGGAGGCCAACCGCGTGGAGAGGTGGGCGGTGGCATCGGGCGTCCCGGAGAAGAACGAGTGGGTGTGGCCGAAAGAGCCGCCGGCGCAGCGTGAGAATGAGACCTACCTCAATCCGCACGGCATCACCTTCCACCAGGCATCCGGCCTGCTGCTGGTGGCCGACAGAGAGCACGGTTTGGGTAGAGAAGGCGCATTTCCACCCCCGTTTGGGCTCCCTTCCGCCCCGTGGGGCTGGGCCACAGAGTTTCGGCTCCCGATTGTGAGGATTTCTTTCAAGCATGGCACAACAAGTAATTATATATACCCCCCATCTGCCCCCTGCCCCCCCCATCTGTGGAAGGGGGCTGGGTGTAGGTGGGAGTGCTATTTTGTTCCCCATAGGTCGCATTGTGGCAGTGGACCCCGAGACTGGGGTGCCCGATGGAGAGCTGCGATGTGCCGATCTGAACTTGGGCCCGAAGCTCAGCAACAGGTCGGCACCGTTCGGCGTGCGGACTCTGCGCCAGGGAGGCTGGGACCTTCTGCTCGTGGCGGCCTCCGACAGCCCCGCGGACCAGAAGAACCAGTTCGTGCACGTGGTGGACATGGCCTCGTTCTCGAGGGAGAGCCTTGCCTGCAAGTCGGTGCTGCATTTCGATGTTGGTGAAAACGGTGAGGGTCCTCTTCCGTTTTGATGATCGACGTTTTTTCATTATGCGTGCTTGGCATTCCGTCAGTTACGTTTTGAGGTCTTGGTTCGGCCCGTGGCACACCTGACAATTTTCTGTCCGTCTCCGCTGTGTTTTGACCACGTCGCTTGAAGGTATCACCGTGCCGCCTGGTTGACATCCGCTGCCTGGGGTGCCGTTTCTAGCACGTGTTCTTTTTGTCGAGTGAATCGCGAGAAAAGGGGAAACCGCGGACGGAACCGCCCCCCAGAGCTTGGCACGATCGGGTCAGGTGCTGCAGTCGCTGGCGATACCGCCCCCGGGCGAGACGGCGAAGGGGATGCCCGACTGCAACACGCCGCACCTCCTGGGCGTGGACGAGCCCAGCGGAGACCTCTACCTGTCCTGCATCGCGCAGCCGGGGTCGAACATCGTCCGGTTGCGGCAGCTGGGCGGGGGCCCCGGCGAGGGCCTCATCCTGCAGCAGGAGCCGCTCCGTGCACGCCGACAGAGGGATCGAGAGATCGGCGGCGAGCGAGGGGGGGGGAGTGAGAAGGGCAAGGCCTGAGGAGGACGAGCACCGGAGAGGAAACATTCTGCCACATCAATCTCCAGATGCCCAACAGATGTCTCAACCATGGTTTCAAACTGTTGGAAACACGTTTGAAGCATTTTTTAGAACATGATCACATCTTTGATTCAATGACAGGACTGTGAGAGTGTCCACTGTCATGGCATCCGCAGGGCAGGGCCTCCTCAGAGAGCGGCGGGGCTCCTCAGAGCCCTCGCGCCTCCCGAGAGGTGCCCCGCGGGGACCTGGCTCAAGGAGACTTCTCCGAGTGCCGGGGGGACCTCCGAGCCTTCTGAGAAGGCCCGCCCCTTCTTTTGCTTCCCCCCGGGGCTCGCCGCCGAAGAGAGAGATCCGCTCGAGGGGAGAAACACACACACAGACACGATGAATCGCCGACCCCCAGGAAATGACGGGAAAGTGTGGGGAAGTGGGGGGGGGAGAGGGCAATCCAGAAGATGTGACCAACAAATGTGGGAATCTTGGCATTCGTGGGACTTGATTTGTGTGTCCCTGGGCCCCAGTCAGGAGGGCCTTCCGCGGGAGACGACACCTCTGGTCTGCGGCCACGTGCGACTCCTGCCCCATACGCGGGCGCAGTCGGCGCTGGGGGGTCGGACGCCCCCCCCCCCAGCTGGGTCGTTCCCCTGGCTGCGGGCCTCCCTCGACTTCTGCACCCCAGCCAGCGTTGTCCAGAACTTCGACCTGCCGTGTACTAGAGCATATACACATGTATATATATAGAATACCAGTGGCGGGCTGTTTTTCAATCCCAGGACCGTTGGAGGGTCGGGGACGGCGTCGGGGTGGTGTGGTGTATGTTTGTTTCTCCGTTTCCTCAGGAAACAACGAAACATGTATACACCAGGATCCCGTATACACCAGGATCCGCGTCCTTGTGCGAATTTCAGCTTAGGGTCGGACAAAAGCGTCGGTGTATAGAGCTCGTTTCCCTACTTTGACCTGCTGTGTCCCAGGGGGCCACATGCGAACCCTAGCCCTATCCCCCACGATTGCTGAGGGGGAGGGGGAGGTCTCCTCCGCCTCCTCCGTCTCTGCGGTCTCCTCCGTCTCTGAGGTCACCTCCGTCTCGGAGGTCTCTTTCGTCTCTGAGGTCTCCTCCGTCTCTGAGGTCTCCTCCGTCTCTGAGGTTTCTGAGGTCTCTGAGGTCTCCTCCGTTTCTGAGGTCTCTTACGTCTCTAAGGTCTCCTCCATCTCCTCCGTCTCCGTCTCCTCCTCCCCCCCTCCTCCTCCCCCCCTCCTCCTCCTCCTCCTCCTCCTCCTCCTCCTCCTCCTCCTGCTCCTGCTCCTGCTCTTCCTTCTCCCCCTCCTCTTCTCTGAGCTCCTCCGTCTCTGAGATTCCTCAGTCTCTGAGGTCTCCTCCGTCTCTGAGGTCTCCTCCGTCTCTGATGTCTTTGTTTTGTTCTATACAAGCCATGAAGTGTAACATGTGTTACCCCGAACGAAGTGACCCCCGGACGTCCCCTCGGTAATTGTGGGGGGTTGGGCTAGGGTTCGCATGTGGCCCCCTGGGACACGGCAGGTCCGTGCTTGGCGTTGGCGCGCCGGCGACGCCAGCGAAGGCGTTCGAGCTGGAGTTTCGGGGGCGGCAAAGAGGAGGGGGTGATGGCCAGGGGGGGGGACAGCATGGCGGATGCCATGATCACCGAGCTCGTTCCACTACTCGCAAAGTGCCTACTCGCAAACGTCCGAAAAACACATGTCTGCTTTGATGCCGTGTATCGTAGATCCCCCACGGCGGATCCAGGCCATTTGCGAGTAGTCACTTTGCGAGTAGTGGAAAGGGCTCGTCTACATGATACCTCCCCAGATTTCATGGCGCCTCTTCCCAGTTACTTCAATGCGTCCCTGCCCCCCCCCGAGCCGCGCACAGGCCGCCAGCCATGATCTGCACCCCCCCCCTCTCGGACACCCCGCCCCCGAGAAGCCTGCGACGCGGCACCACCGATGGACGCAGCATCGCCACTGGCCCCCGCGGGGAGTTCGACCTCAGACGATCGGCGCCGCGATCGATCCGACGTGGAGCGACAGGCGCGGTTTCCAGGCCCGTGCCGCGCGCCGAGGCCGCGCGAGGCTGCCGTATTCAGGAGGGGGAAAAACACACAGACACAATTGATCGTCGATTCCCTAGAAAATATGGGAAAACATGGGAAGTGGGGGGGGAAGACAAAGACGCAGAAAATATGGGAACATATGGGGAATCTATATTTTTATTTTTGTGTATTTATTTGTGTGTCCTGGGGCCCCTTTACGTATGGGCCCCTCGTGGCTGCCCCTCGGGTGCGCGTGCTCCGCGGAGGCGCGCGGGCCTCGGCGGAGCCCCCGCACACGGGCCGCTGGGGCGCCACCGCCGCACCCGGGCAGCCTCCCACACGACTGGCTTCTCCATCCTCGAGCCTTACCTCAGCGGGCGAAGAACGGTATAACATAAACTTTTTTTCCCGTCGGGGGCACGGGAGCCCGGTGTGCCCTTCCAGTTCTGCCTTGGGCGTCGACACGCGTCGATGAGCGTCGGGGGGTCGCGAGATGCGCCGATTTCGCGTCGGCTGGCGTCTGTGAGCGTCGCTTGGGCGTCGATTCTGGGGCGACTGGCCTCGACCCGCAAGAGCCGACCAGATGGCACGGGAGGCTCCCGTGAGTTGCCACCGGATGCTCCCATCCGCGGCACCAGAGTTCCCGACCCCTTCCCCCGGGGCCGGCTTCTCTTGCGTTTCATGTTTAGGTGGGGCATGTCTTCCTGCAGGCGGATTCCAGAAGGAGCATAAAAAAACAGTCAAACAAACATATCGAGCACGACAAAAACGTCACCATCTTATGTTTCTCCTATCATTGAACATTCCCCTTGTAGAGGGACACGCCCGACTTAAGCTTAAGCTCCTGTTCGATGTCCCGACAACCCTTGAGATCCGACGGCGCCAAAAAGTTGAGACCTCATGAGAAATCACGGCCGCAGCCCCAGACGCCACCTTTTCTGCGCCATTTCTTGAGCCAGATCGATATGTGAGGACACCCGGGCCCGAAGCCTGACGAGAAAGCGCCCGGCTCGACAACATTGGGACGCCAAGGATCTCCGGGCCGACTCCAGGGCCTGAAGGGGCCACGACGCGTGCGACGCTGCGTTGGCCCCCCGGCCGCGCGGGGGGCGCCGCCGGGGGGCCCCAACATTCAAGACTGGAGCGGCTGCCTCTTGCAAGCCGCCCGTCCTCCTCCTCCTCCTCCTCCTCCTCCTCCTCCTCCTCCTCCTCCTCCTCCTCTTCTTTCTCCCCCTCCACTGTGCGCGGCCTCCGGCGGATCGGGTCGCGCCCGCATCGGCTCCGCGCAGCGGGCCGGGAGCGCTGGGATCGCAGCTCGGGCCCGGCCCCTGCGGGCCGGGAGAGGGAAGGGGTCGTGTCGGGTCCGCACCGGGTCGAGGTCAGAAGAAAAGCTCGGGTCAGGGGCAGCGATAGGGGGGGGGGGGATAGGCATAGGGGGGGGATGCATCGACCCCCTATCGCCCACTGCTCGCCGGTAGGGGCCCGATAGCCCCAACCTGCCCAGGAAGGTGCGGATTCACTATCGGAGGCCTATCGCCGATCTATCGACGAGGCATCGCCGATTTCAGGTAGATGCATCCCCCCTATGCCTATCCCCCCCTATATCGTTGCCCCTCGTCGGGGATCGGATCGGGTCGCGGGGGACTGTGAGCACTGGCGGGCGAGTCGAGGCCGACCTCGAGGAAAAGCGCCCTCGGACGGAGCCAAGATCACGTCGTCAGAGAGGTGGGGCGCGCAGCGGCGGGCCGGCCGCGCACCGGAGGCCTGTCCCCTGTCCAGGGGGGGGGCTCTTCTCGGCGACTACGAAGGGTGTGGCTACGCTGGGGTGCGGTTTGCGATCGGCGCCGTGGGGGCCTGGAGGGCACGACGGTGTCCTCGTCGGGCCTCGTCGGGGCGCGGCGGAGAACTGTCGAGGTACCCACCCGACCCCCATGGTGCCCCCCAGGGAGCCGTTTGCAAACCACACCCTTGGCAAATGTCGTTTTGCTGTCGTTCTGTCGTTCGTTTTGCGCCACCTCTTGTCCTGCGCCTCCCTCCCAAAACGAAGAGCAGGACACGGCCGAGATCCAGCAGAACAGCGTTTGGGCCCAGCCCTGGGTCCTCCAGGGCCTGTCGACGTTTCGTCGGTCGGCTCGCGCGGATGCGACCAGGCAAGGCGCGGCCGCTCCGAACATCGAGGTGCAAATCCAGGCAAGCCTGGGCGTAAGCTGCAGATGCCCCCCCAGGTCTGGGGCGAGTCTTGGTCGCTCGGCCGGGGCCCAGGAGCAGCAGCAGCCGTGAAGCCCGCCGCGAGAGCAGCAGCAGGAGACCAGGAGGAGGAGGGGGAGGAGGAGGAGGAGAAGGAGGAGGAGGAGGGGGAGGAGGAGAGGCGGAGCAGGAGGAGGAGGAGGGGAGAGGAGGAGAGGAGGAGGAGCCGGGGGAGGAGGGAGCGCAACATACACGGCAGAAGTTGGGGCAGGACCGGCGATAAGCAGACGGATCACGAGGATGAGGGCAGCTGGCACGAGGGTTGACAGCACCCCTGGCTTCGGAGGGATCGGATCTCAGGGGGCGCTCCAGCGCGAGTCGAGGCGCCTCCCCCTCATCAGCCGAGTCCTCTTCCGACTGCTCCATATCCTCCTCCTCCTCATCCTCCTCCTCCTCCTCCTCCGACTCAGGACTCCGGACTCGACTCCAACTCCTTTCCCTCCTCCTCCTCCTCCTTCCTCCTCTACCCCTCCTGATCCTCCTCTCCTCCTCCTCTCCTCCTCCTCCTCCCTCCTCCTCCTCCTCCTCCTCTCCTCCTACTCGATCCTCCTCCTTCCTCTCTCCTCATCCTCACTCGGACTCCACATATCTCCTCCCTCCTCCTCTCCTCCTACCTCCTTCCTCCTCCTCCTCCTCCTCCTCCTCCTCCTCCCCCTCCTCCTCCACTCCACCTCCTCCTCCACCTCCTGCTCGATCCTCCTTGATCTTCGATCCTCGCTCCTGGATCCTCGGGGGGCAGCCGCCGTTTTGAAGCCCTCGGCGCCAGGAGGTCTTGCACGCGCCCGTGGCCAAGGCGCCGGGCTCCGCCGCCGCCTTGCTCGCCGCGCCCGCGGCCGTGGCGCTGGGCTGCCTCGCGGTCGCCTGGAGGGCCGCCAGGGCCGGCTCGGCGGCGGCCCGCGGCGAGGGGAGCGGTCTCGCCACGGCGCTCTCGCCAGGAGTTCCTCGGCACGGTGGCCATGGGCATGGGAGGAGGAGGACGAGGAGGAGGAGGAGGAAAAGGAGGAGGAGAAGGAGGAGGAGGAGGAAGGCGAGCCCTGAAGACGACGCTCGATTGAACATTGGACGATCGGCAAGATCCAACTGATTAGGTGAATGCTGGCTATCGGCAAGATGAGCCGGTTTGGTGTATGTTCGGGGGGCTTGTGGGTAGGCGATTGCGAAGGTAACATGTTGGGGCACGCGTAGACAACATTACAGTAACCTATTAGGCTAGTTTTTAGGCCAGCCATTCTCCCCTGGGCCACCTCATCGTCGTGGTTCGTCCCCCTCGGCCCCTCCCCTGAGCCTGAGCCCCAGCTCCTGGGCCACCCCCCCTTGGGACCCCCCCTCCGTCCAGACTTCCCAGGGCAGCCCACCTGGGCCGCGGAACCCTTTATTTTCGTCGTTGCTCGTGGTGGTTCGTCCCCCTCGGCCCCCCCCTGAGCCTGAGCCCCTGATTGTGCAAGAGCCAGGGCACGCGTGCCACTTGTTTCGCGTCGCAGCCCCCTTCCCCGCTCCCTCCCCGCCGCAGCACCCCCTCCGCCGCGCCCACTTCATTCGTCGCGTCGCAGCCCGACCACCTCCCCCACGGGCCACCGCCACCGCCACCGGCCCCCGTTTTCGTCCAGCAGTCCAGTGCCCCCCCCGCGCCGACCACTTTCTTTTTCCGGTCGCAGCTTTCCCACCCCATTCTCCCCCAAAGGCCTCTCCGCCACCGCCCGCTGTCCTCCCGCAGCTCCGCCTCGACCTTTTCCCCCGCGTCGCAGCCCAACCACCTCCCCCGCAGCCCCCCCCGCCCCAACCCGCTTGTCCTCTGGCAGCCCAGTGCCCCCTCCGCCTCGACCACTTCTTTTCTCTGCGGTGCAGCCGATTTCACCTCCTCCTTCCGCCTCCGCGGGCCACCGCCACCGACGCCGTCCTCCAGCCCGCCCCCCCGCCCACCCCCTGTCGGCATGCCACCGCCCCCGCACCCTGCTATTGCTGGGGCCCCCGCCCCCGCCCCCCCTGTCCCCAGTGGGTTCCAGCAGCACGGTGCCCCCGCCACCGTCCCACTGCAGCACAGTGCCCCCGCCGCCCCGCGTCGCAGCCCTCCGCCCCCCCCCCTCCCCTTCTCCTCCCCCCCTCCCCCGCGCACCGTCCCCCCCGCAGGCCGTCGCCCACACCCCGCCGTCCCCAGGGTCCTCTGGCAGCCCAGTGCTGCCCCCTCCGCCCCTACCACGTTGTTTTTTCCCGTCGCAGCCCCCCTCCCCCTCCCCGCCCCGGGCCCCCGCCCCCGCAACAATGTCCCCACGGTCCTCCAGCAGCCCAGGACCCACCCCGCCTCGACCAATGTGTTTTTCGCGCTGCAGCCTCCCTATCCCCCCCCTTCCACCTCCCCAGACTCCCTCGAGTTACGAAAACAATCACGACTGGAGGTTCTTCATGATTTTACCCAACCCCTGCGCAACACGGGGCATGAGTAGTTTGGGAGACGCTATACGGAGGTGATGACGTGACATGGGCGCATATACTTCTGCAAGCGGCATTCGTGAGGCTCGCAGCCCCCAATGGATTGCGATGTCCCGCTCAGATCTGCCTGGTGCCTCGCTCCGTTGGACCCACCAGCAGCCCTCGAAAGTGGCGACAATTTCGCAGATCGCAGCCCCCCAGGGACGGCGAGGTCCCTCTCAAATCCGCGCGGTGCCTCACTCCGCAGGACCCACCAGCAGCCCTCAAAAGTGGCGACAGTTTCGCAGATCGCAGCCCCCCAGGGACGGCGAGGTCCCGCTGAGGCCCGCGCGGTGCCTCATTCCACAGGAACCACCAGCAGCCCTCGAAAATGGCGACATGTCGCATATCGCAGCTCCCCCCCAAGGACGGCGAGGTCCCGCTCAGGTCCGCGCGGTGCCTCACCCCGCAGGACCCACCAGCAGCCCTCGAAAGTGGCGAGGTCCCGCTGAGGCCCGCGCGGTGCCTTATTCCGCAGGAGCCACCAGCAGCCCTCGAATGTGGCGACGGTTTCGCAGATCGCAGCCCCCCAGGGGCGGCGAGGTCCCGCTCAGGCCCGCGCGGTGCCTCACTCCGCAGGACCCACCAGCAGCCTTCGAAAATGGCGACGGTTTCGCAGATCGCAGCCCACCAAATACGGCGAGGTCCCGCTGAGGCCCGCGCGGTGCCTCATTCCGCAGGAACACCCCACCAGCAGCCCCGAAAGTGGCGCCAATTTCGCAGATCGCAGCCCCCCAGGGACGGCGAGGGCCCGCTCAGGTCCGCGCGGTGCTCGCTCCGCCATGACCCACCAGCAGCCCTCGAAAAGTGGCGCTCGCAGGACCCCCCAGCAGGCCTCGAAAGTGGCGACAGTTTCACAGATCGCAGCCCCCCAGGGATGGCGAGGTCCCATTTGAATCCGCCGTGGGTACCCACTGTGCTGGGCCCCCCAGCAGCCATCGAAAGTGGCGACAGTTTCACAGATCGCAGCCCCCCAGGGATGGCGAGGTCCCATTTGAATCAGCCGTGGGTGCCCACTGTGCTGGGCCCCCCAGCAGGCCTCGAAAGTGGCGACAGTTTCACAGATCGCAGCCCCCCAGGGATGGCGAGGTCCCATTTGAGTCTGCGGTGAGTACCCACTGTGCTGGGCCCCCCAGCAGGCCTCGAAAGTGGCGACAGTTTCACAGATCGCAGCCCCCCAGCGATGGCGAGGTCTAATCTGAGTCCCCGTAAGACGTCACTCCGCTGAACCCCCCAGCAGCCCTCGAAAGTGGCGACAGTTTCACAGATCGCAGCCCCCCAGGGATGGCGAGGTCCCCGCTCAGGTCCGACGCGGTGCCTCACCCGCAGGACCCACCAGCAGCTCGAAAGTGGCGGGACAGTTTCGCAATCCGTAGCCCCCCATGGATGGCGAGGCTTATGAATCTGGTGTGGCGTCACTGTGCAGGGCCCCCCAGCAGCCTAGAAAAGTGGCGACAGGTTTCGCAGATCGCAGCCCGCTGGGGACGGCGAGTCTCCGTCTCAAAATTTGGGTCCTCGCGTGGCGTCACTGAGCTGCTGGGCCCCAAGGCAGGCAATCGGCGTTCGGCGACAGCTCGCAGTCGAATCGCACGACGATGAATTCGGTCTAATTTGAATCTGGTGTGGCAGTCACTGTGCTGGGTCCCCCAGACAGGCTCGAAAGTGGCGACAGTTTCAAAAGATCGCAGCCCCCAGGGATGGCGAGGTCTAATTGAATTTGCGTGGGCGTCGCTGTGCAGGGCCCCCGGCAGGCCTCGAAAGTGGCGACAGTTTCACATATCGCGGCCCCCCCAGGGAGGGCGATGTCTAATTCAATCTGCGTGTGGCACGTCACGATGATGATGACCCCAGCAGGCCTCGAAAGTGGCGACAGTTTCACAGATCGCAGCCCCCCAGGGATGGCGAGGTCTAATTTGAGTCCGCCGTGGGTACCCACTGTGCTGGGCCCCCCAGCAGGCCGCGAAAGTGGCGACAGTTTCACAGATCGCAGCCCCCCAGGGATGGCGAGGTCCGATTTGAATCCGCCGTGTGTGCCCACTGTGCTGGGCCCCCAAGCAGGCCTCGAAAGTGGCGACAATTTCACAGATCGCAGCCCCCCAGGGATGGCGAGGTCCAATTTGAGTCCGCCGTGTGTACACACTGTGCTGGGCCCCCAGCAGCCCTCGAACGTGGCGACAGTTTGGCATATCGCAGCCCCCCAGGGATGGCGAGTTACAATTTGAATCCGCCGTGTGTACCCACTGTGCTGGGCCCCCCAGCAGGCCTCGAAAGTGGCGACAGTTTCACAGATCGCAGCCCCCCAGGGATGGCGAGGTCGAATTTGAGTCCGCCGTGTGTACCCACTGTGCTGGGCCCCCCAGCAGGCCTCGAAAGTGGCGACAGTTTCACAGATCGCAGCCCCCCCAGGGATGGCGAGGTCTAATTTGGGTCCGCGCGTGGCGTCACTGTGCTGGGCCCCCAGCAGGCCTCGAAAGTGGCGACAGTTTCACAGATCGCAGCCCCCCAGGGATGGCGAGGTCTAATTTGGGTCCGCCCGTGGCGTCACTGTGCTGGGCCCCCCAGCAGGCCTCGAAAGTGGCGACAGTTTCTCAGATCGCAGCCCCCCAGGGATGGCGAGGTCTGATTTGAATCTGCGTGTGGCGTCACTGTGCTCGGCCCATCAGGCCTCGAAAGTGGCGACAGTTTCACAGATCGCAGCCCCCCGCAGGCAAGACAGGAGGAGGCAAGAGGGAGGCGGGAAGGAAGGAAGGAGGGAGTGGAGACCACACTGCTCTATTCAAAACGAATACCCAACCAAGGAGGTTGGGAATTACCCTGGCGACGTACCCAACCCCTGCGCCAAACGGGGTGCAAATAGTTTAGGATGCTTTATAAGGGGGGCGATGACGGAGCGAGGGTTACAGATGTCTGCAGACGGAATTCGGGAGAATCGCAGGACATTGGCTACAGGACAAGGGCTTGATAAAGCTGATGAGTTACAATTCCTGAGCACCCCTAGCCACTTCGAAAACGGAGATCACCGATCGCAGCCCCCCAGGGATGGCGAGGTCGAATTTGAATCCGCCCGTGGCGTCACTGTGCTGGCCCCCCCAGCAGGCCTCGAAAGTGGCGACAGTTTCACAGATCGCAGCCCCCCAGGAGTGGCGAGGTCTAGTTTGAATCCGCGCGTCGCCCTCACTGTGCTGGGCCCCCCAGCAGGCCATCAGCATGGCGACAGTTTCACAGATCGCAGCCCCCCAGGGATGGCGATGTCTAATTTGAATTTGCGCGTCGCCCTCACTGTGCTGGGCCCCCCAGCAGGCTTCGAAAATGGCGACAGTTTCACAGATCGCAGCCCCCCAGGGATGGCGAGGTCTAATTTGAATCTGCGTGTGGCCCTCAATGTGCTGGGCCCCCCAGCAGGCCTCGAAAATGGCGACAGTTTCACAGATCGCAGCCCCCCCAGGGATGGCGAGGTCTAATTTGAATCTGCGCGGGGCCCTCACTTTGCTGGGCCCCCCAGCAGGCCTCGAAAATGGCGACAATTTCACAGATCGCAGCCCCCCAGGGATGGCGAGATCTAATTTGAATCTGCGCGGGGCCCTCACTTTGCTGGGCCCCCCAGCAGGCCTCGAAAATGGCGACAGTTTCACAGATCGCAGCCCCCCAGGGATGGCGAGGTCTCATTTGAATCCGCGCGTCGCCCTCACTGTGCTGGGCCCCCAAGCAGGCCTCGAAAATGGCGACAGTTTCACAGATCGCAGCCCCCCAGGGATGGCGAGGTCTAATTTGAATCTGCCCGTGGCCCTCAGTGCTGGGCCCCCCAGCAGGCCTCGAAAATGGCGACAGTTTCACAGATCGCAGCCCCCCCAGGGATGGCGAGGTCTTATTTGAATCTGCGCGTCGCCCTCACTGTGCTGGGCCCCCCAGCAGGCCTCGAAAATGGCGGCAGTTTCACAGATCGCAGCCCCCCGCAGGCAAGACAGGAAGAGGCAGGGAGGGAGGGAGGAGGAGGAAGGAAGGAAGGAAGGAGTGGAGACCACACTGCTCTATTCAAAACGAGTACCCAACCAAGGAGGGTTGGGAAAAAACGACTCAGGATGAAAAACCGGTCCCGGGGAATGGGTCCAGACCTCCCGCCCCCCCCGCTGGCCATTGCCACCGCCCCCTGTCCCCGATGTCCTCCGGCAGCCCAGCGCCCACTCCGCTTCTGACGCGGCGGAGAGCCCTCGTCGCAGCGGCTGGATTCCCTCCGGAATTCTGGCCAGAAGGCGCGCCCGAAGAGGTCTGGGAAGTTGGGAAGTTGCGGTATGGGTACCTTGTTGTCCTCCAGGAGTGGGCGAGATGGAGCTGGGCGACCAGCATCGGGTCGGACGAAAAGGGAGGGATTGTCAGAGGTGGGCGAGTTGAGACACCGGTAGTTGGTCTTCGGGGGGCCTCCTCGTCGCCACGGTCGGACGCACTTCGGAGAATTCGTGCGTTTGAGTCTGGCCGGTGTGTGGAGGTCGATCTTCGAGTGCCGTTGCGACGGGGGGGGCCGCCGTGAGCATGGTGTGATCTGCTGTGGCCGCTTTGGGTTCTGGATGGGGCTCTGTGGGAAAAGAAAAAAACGTGGGAGAAAAAAAAAAAGCTGTGGGAACAAAACACACACACACACAAAACACACACACTGTGTGTGTGTGTGTGATTTTTTTCCTGCAGTGTTTTTTCCCACAGTGCGTGTTTTTTTGTTCCCACAGCGTGTTGCTTTCGGGCCGCTCCGTGGCTCTGGGTCGTGGCGTGCCGTCGTGGCCGGGGGCTCGCCGTGGCCAGAAGGTCGAGCATCGCTCCTCCTTCGGCGCTCGTCTCGACGGCACGGCTGCCGTGCGCATCTGCCGCGGTGCTCGGCTGGCCTCGGCCCCGCCGCCGGCTCGGCGGCGCTCGGTCGTGTGGGTTCTGCTCTGGCGAGGGACCCTCGAGGGGCATCCCCCGGAGCCTCGAGCGAGAAGAGCACGCACAGGACCGAAAGAAGCACAGGGGATGGACGTCCGAGCGACGGCAAGCCGGGCCCCTCTTCACCACCCACCAAACCACCCCAACCCAACCCGAAGGCCCAAATTTATCCTCGATTTCCAGTGGGGGGGGGGGTCGGGGAACACTGAAAAAACACATGGAATCCGTCCCCCCCCAAACCCGAAATTCGACTCAAATTCGGGTCTTCGGGTTGGGTTGGGGTGGTCTGGTAGGTAGTCACCTCTCCCGATGCGTGGCCACTCCCAGCGCCGGGAGGCGCGGGCGAAGCCAGCTGCAGGCAGCAGGTTCGCACCCGCCCCCCCCGTTGCTACCCTCCCCTTTTCGTCCAGCCTGGCAGCAGAGCGGGGCCAGTGATGGCCGGTACGTCTCCTTGTCTTGAGCGCCGACGGTCAGAGCGTGAGCTACCTACCCCGCTTTCGCTTCCAGGCAGAACCAAGTCATACCCCGCGCCTCTTCGTCAAGCGGCCTGACCAGTGCAGGCCGTAGTTTGGCATCGTTTGGTATCTCTTGGAAGCGAGTGTGGTCAAAAGCGAGGCAGGTTTGTTTGCCCCCTAGACTGGGTCACCAGTGCCCTCTCCGCTCTGTGGCCCGCGCGTGTGCCGGAGGGTCGCGTGCAGCAGTGGTCCGGCGTCTTCCCCAGCTCCTTGCAGCATGTTGCCCGCACCAGCGGTGCGCGGCTTGTGCAGGCCAGGGGCCGCGCGGCCTGCGCACGGGTGTGGCCAGCTGTGCGGAACATGCTGGCTCAGACGGCCCTCGCCCAGCGCAGAACATTCGGGGGTGGACAGAACCCCCCAGCAGTGACACGTCGATTAGTGAATTGTCCGTTTTCGGTTCTCGAGACGGCGCCGTGGCCGTTATTTTCCAGGCCTGCGCCCGCCAGGTTTGGGCCTCAGGTCGTTTTCACTAAACCACGTTTTACTAAAGGGAGGTCTGTCCATCCCCGAAACATGCCCCAACCGTGTGTAGAGCGCTCGGCTGGGCGTTCACCGGCTCGGAGTGCCACATTCACCGCCATGGCAGCCGGAGCCACGGTATCCCGAAGGGCTGTTCCTGGTCGCGCTGCCGCGCGCGTGCGCCGCGTCGCTTGGGGAATCGGCGATGCGGTGCCTGCATCGTCTCGGTCACACCATGGGTTTGCGTTGCTGCTCTCCTTCGTGCTTTTTCTTGTAACCAGGACGCCCAATGCGGCCCCTGATGGCCCGAAAACGCTCCAAGATGATAGCAGGACGATTCCGAGGAGACCAAAGCATGCTTCAAGAGCTGCTCCAAGAGGCCCCCAGAGAGGCCCCAGAATTTCAAACACTGTTTTCCCCCACCCGACAGGTTGGGGTCGTTACTTTGAAAAAAAACAAAGACCTCCCGACCCGTCCACGCTGCATACCGCGGCCGCCAGATCCCAAGGTCCCCCGAGAGTCTCCGAGAGTCCCGCCTCGCGCCACTCTGCATACCGCGGCCGCCAGATCCCCAGGTCTCCCAGTGTCCCCGACTGTCCCGCCTCGCGCCACTCTGCATATCGCGGCCGCCGGATCCTCAGATCCCCCGAGTGTCCCCGAGAGTCACGCCTCGCGCCACTCTGCATACCGCGGACGCCATATCCCAAGGTCCTCGAGTGTCCTCGAGAGTCCCGCGTCGCGCATCTCTGCATACCGCGGCCGCCAGATCCCAGGTGCCCGAGTGTACCCGAGAGTCCCTCCTCGCGCCACTCTGCAACCTGCGGCCGCCATATCCCCAGGTCCCCGAGTGTCCCCGAGTGTCCCGTCTCGCGGCGACCCATCATAACGTGACAGAGCAGTATCCTACAATTGCAGAACATGATACAGCACCATAGTAGAAGCTATGACAGAACAGAGCATGACACCACACCACCTAGCATAACATGTCGGTGCATAACATACCATATCATGGCATACAACATTGTAACATAACATACCATGGCAGGGCAGTACATACCGTGGCACAGCATCACAGCTCATAGTATCCCGTAGCACGGCAAAGCAAGCATAAGATAGTAACACATCGTAGCGTTGAACATACCGAAGCAGAACATTCGCAGCCTCACACAGCATGGCATAGCATGTCATATCAGAACTTCAAATTAAGTCACAAACCGGAGCATACCATGACAAACCATGACATAATGCACCAGAACAACAGACAGCATCACATCATATACCACGATTGATCGCATCGCCGCACAGGTGACACATTATAACAGGACAGAGCTCGGCATACGATGTTACGCAATAGCATAACACATCATAGCATAGCACCACCAGCAATGACACAACGAGTGAGACAGAACAATGCAGCGCACCACACTATACGTCATGACATAGAACTCCCCCTGAACTCACATACCATGGCAGAACCGATCGTACCATTGCACAGCATCACATCACATAGCAGTGCGTAAAATGACAAAGCATGCAATGACAAAGCATACCATGCCAGCGCGCGGCATACCACATTATAGCCTCGCATGCAATTTCATAGCACGGCAGCGTGGAACATACAAGGACATAGCATTACAATTCATACAGGGACATCGAGCATGCAGGGCATGCCATAGCACCATACACCGTACGATACATGGACAGACCACACCCGAACTAGCGTAACATACGGATCATACTGTTTCATAATGGCATCGCGTATATCATCATAGCACAGAGTCTCAGCAGCGTAGAACTTGACAAAGCATTGTATGACGAACCTTGGCATAATGCATCATCGCGTAGAAGAACATAAGAGACACCCGAATACCATGCCCCGACGTAGCAGAGCATCACAGAACGCAGCATCGAGCACAACATAAGATACCAACGCATACCGTGACTTATCGGAGCATCGTGGGGTATAGCATCACAGCGCTTAGCAGAGCATGCAGGACTTGTTGTACCATCGGTACCACGACAACAACGAATGTTTTCACACACCGTAGGCTGTCCCAGATTGCAGGGAATAACGTAACGCAGCACAATGTAATTGATAGAGAGAAGAGCACAACGTAACCCGCATACGATAGCAGAACTCTTTCCCTAATGCTACTTCTTCGGCAAAGAGCTCGACACAGCACCCAATCACTATGCCTTCATTGAAGAGGTACAGCAGCACTGGGCAACGCATAAAAACACATACCTTAACATCACAGCGCCTGCTATAGCACGGTGCCGCAGAGCCGAAGCGTACACGCTAGCACAACAAGACCTGTAAGTGAAGAAGAATGTCAGGACTTTCTTCACCGCGTAGTAGTACTATGAAGTGCGACGTGCGCGACGACGTCATGCTGGGCACTGGACCAATAAGGCGAACAACGACCGATTGAACGAAGTATCACACGTGACAGGCGTCACGACGACACGCCAGATTGCCCCTCCGTCTTTTATAATTTCGAGTTTAACGATCATTGTTACTAGTATGGCTACTACGACTACTACTACCACTACTACTTCTACTACCACTACTACTACTACTACTACTACGACGACGACTACTACTACTATTACTACTACTACTACTACTACCACTACTACTACTACTACTACTACTACTACTACTACGACTACTACTACTACTAATAATAATAATATTACTACTACTACTACTACTACTACTACTACTACTACTACTACTACTACTGCTACTGCTACTACGACGACGACTACTACTACTACTACTACTACTACTACTACTGCTGCTGCTGCTGCTGCTGCTGCTGCTGCTGCCACTACTACTAGTACTCTTACTACTACTGCTACTACGACTAAGACTACCTTTATTAGTTTTACTACCACCGCTACTACTACTACTACTACTACTACTACTACTACTACTACTACTACTACTACTACTACGTACTACTACTACTACTACTACTGCTGCTACTACTACTACTACTACTACTACTACTATACTACTACTACTACTAAGACTACTACTACTACTACTATCTATACATACTACTACTACTACTACACTACGACTTACTACTATCTCCCGACTACTACTACTCTACTACTACTACTAATAAACTAATTACTACTACATACCACCCACTACTACTAACACTACTACTACTTACTACTACTACTAACTCTGCTGCTGCTGCTGCTGCTGCTGCTGCTGCTGCTGCTGCTGCTGCTGCTGCTGCTACTCTTTCCCAACCATCCTGTGGTGTTGGGTCCTCGTTTTGAAGAGACAGCGCCCCGCGTTCACTCCTTCCTTCTTTCCTCCCGCTGCCCCCTCCCTCGTCACCGCACCCATTTCGGCACACCCCTTACACTTTCCGTGGCCCATAGGGAGCTCCACCGAAGGCCCCAGTGGCTGCGTTGGCATGGCGGCGCCTCGCCCATTTCAGCACACCCCTCACACGCTTCGTGTCCCCATAGGGAGCTCCACCGAAGGCCCCATTGGCTGCGTTGGCATGGCGGCGCCGCACCCAATTTGGCACACTCCTCACACGTTTCGTGGCCCCACAGGGAGCTCCACCGAAGGCCCCAGTGGCTGCGTTGGCATGGCGGCGCCGCACCCATTTCGGCACACCCCTCGCACGTTTCGTGGCCACATAGGGAGCTCCACCGAAGGCCCCTGTGGCTGCGTTGGCATGGCGGCGCCGCACACATCTCGGCACACCCCTCACACGTTTCGTGGCCCCATAGGGGGCTCCACCGAAGGCACCAGTGGCTGCGTTGGCATGGCGGCGCCGCACCAAATTCAGCACACCGCTCACACGCTTCGTGGCCCCATAGGGAGCTCCACCGAAGGCCCCATTGGCTGCGTTGACATGGCGGCGCCGCACACATTTCGGCACACCCCTCACACGTTTCGTGGCCCCATAGGGACCTCCACCGAAGGCCCCACTGGCTGCGTTGGCATGGCGGCGCGCGCCCATTTGGCACAGACAAAAAACCCCTCACACGTTTCGGGCCCCATAGGGAGCTCCACCGAAGGCCCCAGTGGCTTGGTTGGCATGGCGGCGCCGCACCAATTTCGGCACACCCCTCACACGTTTCGTGGCCACATAGGGAGCTCCACCGAAGGCCCCAATGGCTGCGTTGGCATGGCGGCGCCGCACCCATTTCGGCACACCGCGCACACGCTTCGTGGCCCCATAGGGAGCTCCACCGAAGGCCCCAGTGGCTGCGTTGACATGGCGGCGCCGCACACAATTTGGCACACTCCTCACACGCTTCGTGGCCCCATAGGGAGCTCCACCGAAGGCCCCTGTGGCTGCGTTGGCATGGCGGCACCGCACCAATGTCGGCACACCCCTCACACGTTTCGTGGCCACATAGGGAGCCCCACCGAAGGCCCCAGTGGCTGCGTTGGCATGGCGGCACCGCACCCATTTCGGCACACCCGTCACACGTTTCGTGGCCCCATAGGGAGCTCCACCGACGGCCCCAGTGGCTGCGTTCGCATGGCGGCGCCGCACCCATTTCGACACACCCCTTACACGCTTCGTGGCTCCATAGGGAGCTCCACCGAAGGCCCCTGTGGCTGCGTTGGCATGGCGGCGCCGCACCGAAGAAGATGTTCACTATTGCGGTACTCGCAACTGCATATGGTTGGGTCCTTCGCCAGGCTAAGTTTGCTTCTACGTTTACAACTACTATTACTTCTACTGCTACTAATCCGACGACTACTACTTTTTCTTTTTTTGTACGAATGCTCGCATTACGACTACTACGATTACCACTACCATTAGCCCCAGGAAGCATTTAAGAACCCCCCCCCCCCCCTCCGGCAATCGATAACCCTTCCGCACCCTGGAAGCGTTACCTGGCACCAGGAACCCTCCTCCTCCTCCTCCTCCTTTTCCTCCTCCTCCTCCTCCTCCTCCTCCTCCTCCTCCTCCTCCTCCTCCTCCTCCTCTCCTCCACCCACGAACTTCCTCCTGCCCCCTCCTCCTCCTCCTCCTCCTCCTCCTCCTCCTCCTCCTCCTCCTCCTCCTCCTCCTCCTCCCGCGCCCCCCTCCTTCCCTCGGGGCCCAAGGCCTGTCAGGGCCCAAGTCACCTGGGGCTTCCCCTCTGGGGCCAGGCCCCCGCGAATTTGTTGTGTGTCCGGGTGCTAAACCTATCGTGCGGTTATTTCGGCCCCTCGGAATATCGAATAAAAATGCGGTGCTAAACTATCGCCGGGGGGGTTCTTAAATGCTTCCTGGGGTTATTGGTACGACTAATATTTCTACTAGTACTACTACTACTACTACTTTTACTACTACTACTACTACTACTACTACTACTACTACTACTACTACTACTACTACTACTACTACTAACTACTACTACTACTACTACTACTAACTACACTACTACGACTACTACTACTACTACTACTACTACGACTACGACTACTCACTACTACTACTACGACTACTACTACTACTACATACTACTACTACTACTACTACTATACTACTACTATACTACTACTACTACACTACACTATTACCACTACTTACTACTGCTTACTACTACTACTACTACTACTTTACTGAATACTACGAACTACTACTAATAATAATAATAACTACTACTAGTACTACTACTACTACTACTACTATACTACTACTATTACTACTACTACTATACTATTAATACTACTACTATTACTACTACTACTACTACCTACTACTACTTACTATACTACTACTACTACTACGACTACTACACCAATACTGCTACTACTACTACTGCTACTAATACTGCTACCACTAGAACTTCCTTCTACATTCTACTTTACTACAACTCTACTACTACTATTATTACTACTACTACTACTACTACTACTACTGTACTTACTCTACTACTACTACTATGACTACTACTACTACTACTACTACTACTATACTACTACTTACCACTACTACTACTACTACCACTACTACTACTACTACTACTACTACTACTACTACTACTACTACTATTTCTACTACCAATACTATTACTACTACTACTACTACTACTACTGCTGCTGCTACTACTACTACTATTATTACTACTACTACTACTACTACTACTACTACGACTACTGCTACTACTCGTATTACTACTACCACTACTAGTACTACTATCACTACTGCTACTGCCAGTGGTTCTGCTTCTCATGCCTCGTCTGCTTATGGCTTCTTTCAGGACATGCGTTGTCGTCTCGCACCACGCGTGTTGAAAGTTAGTTTTTCGCCCCAGTGTTTCTTTGGATATCTTTCGTCAGGGGCTCTGTGGCCATTAGGGTTCAGGATAACAACAACTCGCGACCCGGTCAGACCGCCGCATTGGCCGACACCACCGGGCCACGCGCACATTGTCCCAATAGGCACCGCCAGGATCAAGCGCCGAAGGTTTTGGTGGGGATCGTTCGAAGCAAACTAATAATACATCATTGTGGATAAGCGCAATGCATTGTGGTATCCTTCAGATGCTGGAAGGAGTCCCTAAGATGGCCACGGAACGCCTTCCGTAGCCATTTTGGTTCAAGTTATTTTGGTTCCAGTTTTGACTGCTTTAAGCTGCAAGTAGACGGCCCTTCTCTGAACACGGGGTCTTGCTTCTAACTCGTGGCAATGGGGACCGCGGCCTCTCTTCGAGCGAAGACCGAAGTGGACTCCGCGAGCACCGCAGAGCTGACCGCCGCCCTCGAGCAGCTGGCCGCGGAGGACAAAGCCAAGCTCACCGCCGCCCTGATTGCCGCCGGAGCCAAGGTCGAGGCTGAGGGGAAGCACGCTGGCGACCCTGGCGAGAACGAGAAGGACGCGATCAAGGCCTGCGTGGACGCACTGCACGCGCTCCAGGGCGAAGAGGAGGCCGCGAAGCAGGCATGCGTGGGCGCGCTGAAGGGATCCCCGGGCGGTGGCGAGGAGGATGCAGTCAAGGCCTGCGCCGAGGCGTTGGAGGCGGCCCTCGTCGGCGGAGGAGAGGAACAGGAGGCGATCAACGATTGCGTGGGTGCCCTCCACGCTGCCCTGGGCGCCCCGGGGGCGAAGAAGGAGAAGGCCTGAAGCTGCAAAAGACAGCGGAGAGGCGACCAGCGCTTCTGCACCAGGGCAGCGGGCCGAAACCTGGTGCCGGTGCTGGGCACGGGCCCAGCTCGGACAGGAGTGCTCGGATGGCTGCGCTTCAGGACGTTAGGTGTCGACTGCTTGCGCGTAATTCATGCCAAGATTCAGGGATGGAATTGGGGGATCGTTTGTCCCGCGTGCGCATCTCTGTTCTCGAGTTCTGCTTTTTGAAGTGCAGGCTCGTTCGCATCCGGGGCCCTGTGGCTTAGCCACGGCCACTATTCGACGCTAGCGGTACGGGCACGCAGCCATTGGAGCGAATGATTCAGCTGCCTGCTTCAAGCCCCGCCACCGTGCCTGTGCAACAGGGTAGCAGGACAGAGTTTCAAGTCGTCTCGTCTCGCGCATCCACACCAGCGCATCCAGGAGCGATGCCCAGGGGAGCTGTCCTTCTCAGGGGAGCGTGGCATAATTAGGAGAGCTCTGGGAGCCTCCGTGGGCCAGAGGCTTCATGGATGCCTCGCGGAGTCTCTTGGGACGTCTCTCGGGGCCCTGTGAACGCGTCTTGGGGGCCTCCTGGCGGCTCGTGGGTGCCTCTTGGGACGCCTTGGGGATCTCTTGGAGACCTCTCGGGACCTCTCGGGGACCCCTTCGCGGTTTTCAGAGCCTCTTCGGGCGTTTTGGGTGCCGCTAGGGAACCTCTTGGGGCCCTCTTAGAGGCCTCTTGGGGGCCTCTTGGGCCGACTTGGGGCCCTCTTAGAAGCCTCTAGGGCTGTCTAGGAGTTACACTGAAGGCATATTGGGCTATCTTGGGCGATTGCAAATAGGTGAGAATTTCCAAACCCTTCAAACAGATGATGAGAATCACATGTTGTTGCCTCCTCGGGCTCTCCTGGAGGGCCTCTTGGAGCCGTGGGCTGTCTTGAAGCCGTCTTAGGGGCTTCTCGAGTGGTCTTGGGCCATCTTTGGCCATCTCTTGGTGTCACCTTGGCTTCTTGGAAGCCGTCTTGGAGGCCATCTTGGCCGTCTGGAGGCCGAAAACAGCGCCAGCGTGCGTTGAGTTTCAGAAAACATTGCAAGACCTCACCAGGCCACAAAAGAGCATTCTAGCACGCCCACTCTGTGCAGACACGGTGGCGGATACCGTTCGGCTCCTCTTGTCGAGCACTAGTGCTGGTGAGACCTAACAGAGGGCACACCAAGCTATATCGACACAAGGGGCCAGACTCGATTTGCGATAAGGAGAAGGAAAAAAAACAACTATCCCAGAACGCCCCAGCAGGACCAAGTGATGGCCAAAGAGAGCATGCAGAGGGGGCAAGACGGCCCAAGAGTGCGCCAAGATGGCCTCCGAAGCCATTGTGGCTCAAGTGGCAACTTGGGCTCACTTCTTCGGAGCTCGAGCTCCAGCCTCTCTGCGCAGACCATAGCCATGTCCGTCGACCCAGTCCCAGTCCTGGTCACCAAGAACACAGCAGCCCAGTCCCAGTCCCAGTCCTGGTCGACCTGGTCCCAGTCCCAGTCCCAGTCCCAGCCCAGCCAGCAGCTTCAGCCGCAAGGCGCCTAGCGGAAGCATGATGGCTCGTAAGACTTTGTCATCTTGGTTCATCGACACAGCTTCCCTGGTCACCAAGAACACCTTCCTGGGCTGCAGGTCGCCGTGGCTGGATCCCGTCGTCCTGCCACGGAGGCCCAGATCCGACCCCGCCACCTCTACCTCGGTGGATGCCTCGTCGTCCACCCTGGCCGAGCTCAGCGGCGCCAGCGAGCACGCGGGAGTGGCCTCGGAGGGCGGCGCCGGCAGCGCAGCGGCGGGAGATGGCGCCTTCCGCGGGAGGACGAGGTCAGCCACGCGCAGAGAGGGGCGGGGGGAGCGGGGAGGGCTTCTCGGAAGCACCCCCGCTTCTTAGAGAAGGCGCGGGCCTCATCCGTAGATGCAAGGCCGGCGCCTTCCAAGAAGCAGCCTCCCTCTATACAGTCGGGGCCCTGAAGAAGAAACCCTTTTCGTTGGGGAGGGGCTCCGTGTTCCTTAATTGTTTCGCAGCTTGCCTTGGATTTTCCTCAGGTTTTCGATACGAAATCGAAGTTTAACTTATGGAAAATAGGGGCCTCGTTCCTTACTTCGGGTTCCTTAGGTCAACACCTCGACTGTATGAGAAGCCCTCCCTCCTCCCTCCACCCCCCTTGTGCGCGCCGCCCGCGAGGGCACACCGCCGCCGCCAGCAGCGCAGGCAGGTCAGGGGCAGGGGCACGGCAGCCAGCCCCTCGCAGAAGGAGGCAGCCTCCCTCTCCTCCACGCCGCGCGGCGCGCCTCCCCTGCGCTGCCTGGTGCGCCTCCGGCGCGGCGGCGGCGGCGCCCAGTCCGCCTGGCCCGGCGCCGAGGGCCTGCCGGGGGCGCAGCAGGACCACCTGGCCTAAAACAGGGCTAGGATCGGGATAAATCGCTCCAGAGCGTTCCGGAGCGCTCTCAGAGCGTTCCGGAGCGCTCTGGAGCGGCCGCGGCGCCCAGTACATCCTCCAAACCCGCCGATTCTCAGAGATTTCGAGCTATCCCGATCCGATTTTGTCCCGATCTTCGCGTCGTTTTATGGCCCGCAAGGCGGGCCGCCCGAGCGGGCCCGCGGGGCTCGGCTCGCCGAAGGGATCGGGCCCCGGCGGCGGCACCGCGTCCACGAAGGTCTCGCTGTGAGGGTTCCCCCGCCTGCCCAGGCGGCCTTCCGCCAGTGCACCCTGCGCCCCCCTGGCCCAGGCCCTCTCCCGACGATGTCTCGGTTTTAAGTCGGGCGTGTCCCCCTAGTTATAGGGGGAAGGTTCAAGAGTGGTCAGAAAATAGGTCGGGTACGGCATTTTGACTCTTTTTGGCTATTCGGTGATTCTGTTTGGCGTATGTTTAATTTTCGCTCGAAATCCGCCTGTAGGGGGACATGCCCGACCAAATTTCGGTTCCCCATCATCGTCCCCCTCCCGTTCATGTGATCGCAAACATGGATCAAGGCGGCGTGGATTATTAGTGACGGGCCCCGTTTCCACAGGAAATTACGGATTTCCACCGCCGAGCGAGGCGGCACCAGCCGCATTTTGGGGAGAGCGCCTCCCCCGATCCATGGATTTGGCGACCGCGCGCCAGATCCACGGATCGCTAATCCATGTTCGTGCGCCCCCCCGTCTTCTTCGGCTTGCCAGCAGAAGGATGTGCGACGGGGATGCAAAGGGCCTTGGACGCCCGTTCCGGGGCTCTTCAAGCGGGGTCAGCGGCCAGTGGAAGTGGCGAAGGGTGGGCCGAGGAGGCAAGGATGCAAGGATATCCCTGGGAAGGCTGCCCATCCTTACTATTCAGTGGGGTCTGTCCCTCTACAGAAAAAATAATCAAACATAGTTTTAAAATAATCTGGGGACGTTTTTTTGATTCTTTGCTGGCCATTCTGGCATTTCTTTAAGTATGTTTCATCTTTCGCACAAAACCGCCTGTAAGGGGACATGCCCGACCCAAATGTAAGGATATCCTTTGGGAAGGTTGCCCTCCTTGCCATGCGGGTCGACTGTAGTATGTGGGCTTTGCTTGGCCTGGTGCATCCCGTCCCCACAGAGGACATTTTTCCGGAGACGGCGTGCTCTGCGCAGCGAGGTCGATGCACACGTAACGGCGTGCGCTCGTAGAGCGAGCTTGGTCAATATTCACTCAAATATTATATTTCGTTCCCCGCGGCTTTCAAGCTGACATGCGGGCCAGTTGAATTGAACTACGCGTTCTCCGCCCGCTGGTGTGGCAGCACGTGCAACGTGTTTGGAAGTCCGGACAACATCTCTCCACTCGCCTTGAATGGAACAAGGAGTGCGGAACTCAGGAAGTGGTTTCTTTGTTTCATAGTATGTGGCCTTTCGGGCCCGATATTGCTTCGACGACCCAGCTGTGCGTGAACGCAGAGTTTGCTGCGACGTGGGCGAATGTGCATGTTGTTTGTTTCCGTTTGCCACCGTCGGGGGTGGTTGCAGCATTTTGCTGAACCATCTCGAGGAGGTCGCATCAATGATCTTGTTCCATATACCCAGTTGAGCGGTAGTGGGCGCGCAGACCGAGCGTAGAGCGTTATGTTCTCTGTGTGCCAAGGTTCGGCCGATCAGTCCTCTCGGTTATCCTTGTTCTGCTGCGAAAACAGAAGAGAGCGTCAAGATAGCCCCGGAAGACAGCAGAAGAGCGTCAAGGCGCGGTGAGACAGCCCCAGGAGTCCCAAGAACGCTACAAGAGGTTTCCGGAATCCTACAGGAGGCTTTCAAGAGCCCCCCCGAGAAGCCCCCAACTCCCCACAGAACCCCAAGACAGCCCTCAGACACTCCAGGGATAGCTTGAAGAGACCCTGCATTCCAAGCTGGCCCACACCATACCCTACATCCGCCCACTCCAGCCCAGGACAATGCGGAAGCTCCCTACGATTGCACCCCTCCTCCCGAGTCCAGCCCCTGCGGGTCCGCGGGCTTCTCCCCAGCCGTCCGCCTGACGAGGAGAATGCACTGCGTCCGCTCTGATGTCGGGTCCGTTCTGCGCCTTTGGTTACACGCCAGTTGTTGAAATTATGTTCGTTCTGGACTCCCAGATCCCAATGTGTTCCCTCTTTCAAGAATCGATCTGCTCTTGCTGTATTTGGTTGCGCTCTGGGGGGGCCTGAACCCAGTCTATTTTATCCGCCCTCCTACTTCATGTTTCTACTTCGGAGGTTGATAGACCTCCTGCCCTGCAACGTCGATTCGCGACTTGGCCGCTTTCGGTTCGCGAGAGGGAGTCGCGGCCGTCATGTCTGCGGGTCCGGGTCCGTCGGTGTCGGTCCCAAGCTGTTTTCACTGAAGGGCGGTTTGGTTGAGGGAGGTGTTGTCCCCCGCCGACTGCCTGTCGGAAGCCGGGCAAGGGCAGCTAAATCCGTGGCTGCTAAAATCGACCTCCGGGAAGGTGTCTTCGTCCTTCCCGGAAGAAGCCCGTTGACTGTTTCGCGTGCCGCGCTTCATTCCGGGAAGCTGTTTTTTCCTTCCGGGAGGGCCGTTTTAGCAGCCACGGTTTTAGCAGCCCTCGCCCAACTTTCGAGCCTGCTTCCTCCGACCGACGCGCACGCTGAAGGCTGGGCGGCGCAATGGGTCCGCAGGCCTCACGTCACCCCCCCTCCGGGGCTCCGCCCGTCCAGCGGTGCGTGCCCAGTGCTCTGCAGCACTGGAGCATCAAGCGATGCACGTGCACGACGGCTCTTCGCGAGCACCTGGTCGAAAACTGGAGCATCTACATTACCAGTGGCGGGTTTTGCTTCAATCCCACGACTTTTTGAGGGTCGGGACAGCGTTGGGGTGGTGTGGTGTATACTTCTCCCTTGTTTTCCAAGGGAAACAACGAAAAATGTATACACCAGGATCCCGTATACACCAGGATCCGCTCCCCAGTGCAAATTTCAATGCAGGGCCAGAAAAAGCGTCGGTGTATAGAGTTCGATTCCCCACTTGGGTTGAATCAGTCCGTCGTGACAGCGCCCTCGCCTGCGCTAGAACCTGAAGCGCGCGAGTCGCGCGCGTGACACTCTCATGTACCGGGTGCATTAGTTGAAGATTTCAGTGTCCTTACCCTCTGGAGCTGCGGGGGCATCTCGGGGGCCTCCTGGGGCCTGTTGCGGTCGCATTCGGGGTCGTCTGGCTCTCGTGATGGTGCATGTGGACGTCTGGGAGGTAATCCGGATCGTCTCCGAACAGCTTGCGGTTGTTAGGGGAGGGTGTAGGCCCATCGGTGAGCCGGACGAGGCCCGTCCCGGATTGAGATTGGGTTGGTCGTCGAAAGTATCCGGGGATGTTGGGGGGCTTCTCTGCGGGCGATGCGACGCGGCCAGGGGTGGCCTTCAGTGGTAGCAATGGAGGAATTTGGCCGACAACATGTTTGCTAGCGTGAGCCCAAAACAGTGAGTATGTGCACCGTGGATGTGCAAGCAACATGGTGGAAGTGCAAACCGCGTGAAGGAACCTGTGGCCACGGCGTGCGGAAATAACCGGCGAACTTCGGCGAGATATTCTTTTTTGGCAGCTGCTTGTGGGGTGCCTTCGCGTACGGCACCAGGAGGGCAGGCTGGCATCTGCGCGCCGACAGGGGGCAGCTGGCGATCCCATCGGAGCGATGCTGTAAGAACCCGAGGGTTCTGACAAACCAGGAAGCAAAAAATGATGTCAGAAACTGGAGCACATACGTGACCAGTGGCGGGCTGTTTTGCAATCCCCGGAAGTTTTGAGGGCCGGGGACGACGCTGGGGTGGTGTGGTGTATACTCGTTTCCCCGTTTTCCCGTGGAAGCGACGAAACATGTATACACCAGGGTCCCGTAGACACCAGGGTCCGCTCTCCCGTGCGAGCTCCAGGTGCGGGGCCGGGAAAAAGCGTCGGTGTATAGAGCTCGGTTCCTTACGGAAACAAGCCACGATGCCTTTCAGCTGTCTTGGTCCGCTGTCCCTCCCTGTCTTTACCAGCCTTGAACTGACCCCTATCCCTAAGATTGACACGCCAAAAGGCGATGGCAATCTTAGGAAGTCGTCCTCAAAACATGAGTGAATCCCTAAGATTGGCATCGTGATGAGGAGATGCCCAGCATAGGGATAGGGACATGTTCCAGGCTGGTAATGTCTTCCGTCCCGCCCGCTGCACGTGGTCCGCTCCCGGCGCGCGGCTCCCGTGGGCCGAGGGCGGCCTCGGGCGGCCCCGCCTGCCGAGCGAGCGGCAGCGTCCGTGTGCAGGTGTGTGTCTGCCTGCCCGTCGACCAACGGCTCAGGTCGGAAACCGGCGCACAGACACCACTCACCAGACTCGAACTTATCCCTATCCCTAAGATTGACACGCGAGAAGGCGATGACAATCTTAGGGATGCGCCCTCAGAAACGAAGGGGATCCCTAAGATCGGCATCGTGATGAGGCGATGCCCAGCATAGGGATAGGGATATGTTCCAGGCTGGTAAATTACCAGTGGCGAGCTGTTGCTCCATCCCAGAACTTTTTTGAGGGTCGGGGACGACGTCGGGGTGGTGTGGTGTATACGTTTGTTCTCCCGCTTTCCCGGGGAGAACGGAGAATGTATACACCAGGGTCCCGTAAACACCAGGATCCGGTCTCTTGTGCGAAGTCCGTGTGAGGCCAGACAGAGGCGTCGGTGTATAGAGCTCGGTTCCCTAAACGGCTCAGGATGAACAACAAAAATCGCGGTTGGGTTTCCGAAACAGCATGCCCAGAAAACTGGCAGCGACGACGGCAGGAAGGGCGACGGTCGCTGCTGCCGAGCGCGCCCTCGCGGCGGCTGCTCTTGGACGGAGGCGTGTCGGTTGGCCCTGGGGCCGCTGGTGGGGCAGCAGAGGCGACCGCGCCTCGAGGATCGATGGATCGAGGCCAAAGGCTGCGGAACAGGACTGAGGATCGAGGGTCGAGGACCGAGGACAGAGGATCGAGGATCGAGGGTCGAGGATCGAAGATAGAGGATCGAGGATCCAGGATCCAGGATCCAGGATCCAGGATCGAGGATCCAGGATGGAGGATCCAGGATCGAGGTCCCTGGGGGCCTCTGGAGACTTCTGAGGCACTCTGGGGAGGGCGGCGGTGCGAGGGCGGAGAGAGGCAGTCGCGGCCCGCGCCTCGCGCGAGCTTGACGCGGGGATGGCGAGATGCTGTGTATGGAACCCGTGTACT